AAATAAGTCAAAATAAGAACACTAGTACCGCTACTTGTATTTAGAAAAAATACCAACACATGCTTTTATTCATTTATCGAAGAGCATGGTTAATGGGAGCTATAAAAAAAACAAGCACTGGCGTCGAAAGACGTAGGGCCTGCGGAGATTGGTCGGGCGGCATGGCGCGCGGGTAGGGGACGCGCCGTATTGATCCGGCGCGCGGCCCGTGCCCCCGGCCCCGAGCCCCGAGCCTCGCCAGACATTACAGAAGCACTCGCAACCCTCATCCCCGCGCCCTCCACCCACCCCTAGCCTGACGCACACCGCCTAGCCGCCTAGCCGACACCCGGGTACAACGCAACCACACCCCTTTTTCATGCAGAATCGAGTCACGGGATTTTCCAATTCAATTTTGCTGAGCAATTGAGAACATATAAGTAACGGTCGTTGAGATCATAATGGATAGAAAATATGATAAATAACGAGACTGATGTGAACGGATTGGCTCCAACGACAACATTATGGATAAAACCATAAGAGAAGAAACTTTCTCGCCACAAGATTGATTACATATCCAAGATTCAATAAAGCATTCACAAAAGTTCTGGCTTCCAGAAGAGCGTGCCGAATGTTCTGGAGTTGTGTATCTTGTCAAGAGTGTTTTATTTGTCAAAAAAGATGAAAGTATGCGACGTGTTTACTACCATATACAGTAGCCACTTGATTCGATTATGGGCACAATAAGCGAAGGAGCATTTTCGTAAGTTCGTTGACTCCGCGAACAATGTGCCCGCGGGTAGCGGTTGGGTCGCCGCGATCCCGCCTGCCGCATCTGCTGTCCGACGATGGATTTTATAGAGACAGCATATGTTACAGCTTCCGACAACTTACATTTTTCGACTAATATGAATACGACAGACAGGCTACATGTCAGCATTATTTATTGTATTCAGATTGTTCTTACGTTGCGTTGGTATACTGTGTGTTACTAAAGACAGCAGTATACCATCATATAAATACAGTAGTTATCCTTATTTGTAGTGACGTTAATGTTGAAACAAATAAATCAGCTTCAGCATTCAGGAGAAATGTTAACAATGGCGAGAATGTGGTGAAGGTCAAAACTATTTGTCAAAGCAAGTGTAGGGATCATCGAACAAAATGCCAGATAACGTTGTTGACTCCATAGTATTTATGTTGTTAGGTGAGTCAGGCGTGATAGCCTAACTTGGTCTGACTCATCTGTACACTTAAGTTGGCTGTGCAAGTAATACGGGAATAAGGTCGTGACGCATCGCCAGTACTCATACACACTAATTATTCAGCAAATGAAATAATGTTAAAACAACAAACTATTGAAGAATTAGTTCGCCGCGAAGCTCCAGCGCACACGTGTAACCAGTGTAACGCTGTCTCTCATGGTGTTTGATTGATGGATGGAGCGCATCCCACAGGTCACGCCAACGATAACATGTTATTATAAAAATACGAATATAATAATAGGCGCTGTTTGTTATTATACCACCACCACATTATTATAATCTGTGCGTCGGTTATATCTTACACTGATCACAACTAAATAGCTGTGGAAGAATGAAGGCAATGGTCATTTAATTGAAATTAATAAATTATGAGGGCAATTGATTCGAGGGAAAAATATCAATTGAATGAAAAAGATACTATTTCCTATGAATAACAACTTAATAAAAGAACACAATATACCCACATTATAAAATTGAATTCAATAGGCGCATAATAACAATAAATTGTTCTTTTATATTACTTAGCTAAATATAACTTTGCAGTTTATTTAATATAAGAGAGTTGTTAAAGCTGAAGGCAGGGGGTATCAAATGATCCACACAAACAAGCCATAGTCCAGTGCGGTACAGAATCATAAGCGAATCCACCCACTCGGTCTGGCAGTCAGGTACCACAGCAAGTTATTTGAATCGAGTTAGCTCAAGAACATAACTTTCTAGTGACTCATAGGAAGAGAGCTATCTCGCGCAGACGCTCTCAATAAGGAAGAGGGTAATAAACAAATTCATCTCTCCCATCTTATGCGGCTTCGGAGCCCATTAAAATGCACAATACTGCACTTTATACCATAGAGCCCGGCCCCTGTACTCGAGGGGCAGATGTTATTTTTAGGCCTTAAATTGATACGCCAACAAAGGAAAGGATGTGAGCAATTAACACTGCACTTTCGATACCAACGTACCATGATCTTGTACTGATAAGTGCACAGTGAAATCCTTGATATTTATGATATCCCTGACCCCAAAATAAACGCTTCATCGAAATGATGTAGGCCAGACGCCCCGAACACATGGACGAAACAAAAAACAAAAGTCCACCCATCACACTTCCCATCATCTCCACGTACAATTAAGCTCTCTCCATATAAAAGAAAGCCACTTATCCGAGGGCGTGAGTACCACCATTGTTCTTGGAAGACATCTCTTACTGACACTGGTTTGACCTAATTGAAAATAATGACGCGTTATTCATTGGAGCCCTTCAAGTTAAAGTTACAAAACATCACAAGAAAGGCGGCCACTCCAAAGCGATCCTACAGATCACGCACGACTATATCATAATAAGATCGTTCTATCAATTGTAACTTATCATTAACTCGTTTTTAATATACCCCTATTTTCCGGTACCATTATCATCAGGACAATTTTAATAAATACCATTCAAAATGTTCGTGGCTTTGGAACTTCCGAGTATTTAAACAAATATTGTAGTACTACATATTTACTCATTTACCAAGAACTAAAAACAAGTGTTCATTAATAGTTTTGTTTAAATATTTATTATCACTTAGCTTTGTTGAAACGGGATGTTTCTTTGGAGTTTTATTTATGGCAGCTCTGCTTGATGACTGCGTGACAGGTATGGGTTTGAACTACTTATGTAATATAACGACTCCTTAATTGCGGTTCAACACACTCTAGCATAGGTACCTCATAATGGTACCACTTTTTTAATGTTTGGAATTCAACGTATCACTATCGTTGAGATCATAAATAAAATTGAGTGTCTGTCTATTAATCTTGGGCACTCTTTTGGGGAATATCGATTCGTACATTTTCTATCGGTTTAAATTCATTGTTCTTAATTACTTATTTATGTTTAGTTCTAGATCATGTTTTAATAATTGCAATATTGCAAAAACGGGGTCTCTCCCGCCCGACCAATCTATCCAGGACCTTGCAATTTTTTTCATAGATATAGATAGTGTACATGAAGATTATAAACCTCCATGGAAAGAATTCCCAATAAAAAAAGAAATCAAATTTAACCGTTACAGTGTTATGCACATTCCTGACCAGTTTGTTGTGACCCATTTATTTGCAAGTTCCCACAAAGGAATACCTTAGTCAACGGACAGATTACAGACCACTAAACTTGGATTGTTCGTTCGCTCCGTGTAGGCGGAACTCACACGTTTTTGCGGCTCAAACCTAGAGAGCAAACTTGTACTGATACCGGTCCGGGACTCAACCAGTCAGTTAATATTTTTGCGGCAGATGGCGTCGGCTATGTCGCGGTCATTTACATAGTAAGTCGACGATAAGCGTGCTATATTTAGCACGCGCGGGGATGCGCCCTGGCCGGCTCTGCATCGCACCTCGCACTGCACCTACACACATCGCCTCCATTCCTCCCTTGCCTCTTATACGCCTCCGTCTACTACACACTGCAAGTTCCTTGCAATAATTATTTCTCCCAGATCCAAATCATCCTCAAATTGTACCAGGTGAATTTTTTGCGAATTATGTCCAAATGTATACGAAAGTCAGTACCTAAAACTTCAAGTTACCTAATTTATATCATCTTTTTTTTGGTCCCAATGGTCTACTAAGAATTCAGGTTTCTTTATTGACTCTTGATAAAATTCCTGATAACATTCAGCAGAAAAAAAGATGAAAAAAAATCATGACCGCCTTATCACATATCCTAAACCGTTGACCTTATCCTTAAGTGGTTTTTCATAAAAAAAACGTATCACCATTCATCATTGTTAACGTTTGTGGTATTGTAACGAAACAAATACTTCATAGTTAAGTGTGTTATGTTAAGCCTCTTACGAAGCAGTTAACGTTAACGAGAAAAGTGGCAGATAACTCATGTGTCGCGGTTGCAAGTAGCACGTTGACGCGACTCGTCCGTTGCATTATCTGAAGCAGTGGAGCGATAAAAACGAACAAAGAACAATGTCAGTAGGCGCTCAACTCCCTTTCGCACGAACTCAGCTCGCTCGGGCTTCGTATGACAAAATAACATTAATTTGTTACAACCGTCCACAACGCAGCGTCCACGCAGCGACGCGCTCGGGTGCGCACATGCATGCAGTTATTCCAATGCTGATTGAAAATAAATTTCCATAGCCTATTGAATAAATAATCTGGCGAAATCGAATGAAATAACTCGGCTAAGTAAACATTTTGTTCATCAACTGAGAGAGAGGCTAACACGAGCACATAAATATTATAGGTGGTAGTCACATCGGCGGCGGACGCCGACGAAGTGTAAATCCGCTGTTAGGGCGCGCCGTGCGATCGGTAGTGGGTGCCAGTGTGCGTGCAGAAATTTCAATCGGTCGGGTGCATGAACAGTGCATCTCAACGGAGGCAGATGTTAATGAGGCACCCGAGAGCCCGAGACTCTGCGAGCGAACGGGACCCGTCCGCGCAGACACCGGTTAAGTGGGTACACACTATACTGCGAACACCGGTCTAACCAAAAAAAATATTATCCGAAATAAAGATAAACAAATAGCGTAAAAAACAGCTCGTTCCTCACGCACGGGTGATAATAAGGGTAGTTAACACTCTTATTGGAAAAGATAAATCAATATCCATAAACATTAGACGAAGAAATATTCGAATCCAACGTCTTTTACTCTTAAAAAGGCACTTCACATAACGAATTTAAAGTAGGTATATAGTTACTTAATTAAATGAAATTTATTTTAAATGTGAAATTAAAAAGAGAAAAGTACTCACCATGCCTTCACACGAATGAGGACCTCGCCCTCTCCAACAGTGGGTTCAGGCTTTTTCAGAATCTTGACAGTCTTCAATCCGCCAAAGCCGGTGAGGACGACAGCGCGCATCTCTTTGGGAGGAGGAGTCTCCTTTTCTTTTTCTTCAGTCGCCTTTTCTGGGGTCTCTTCGGGTGGGGTTTCAGTAGTTCCATTTTCAGTGGGAGTCTTTTCAGGCGCAGCTGCCGCGGGGGTGTCTGTGCTCTCCGTCATGGCTTTGGCGAGGTGTTTCAACTAAGTGGTGCGATCGGAGCGGTGCGGCTAGCGGACGCGATGGGAATGAGCCCGGGCGAGTGTTACGGAGGCCGGCCGGCAAGTCTACGCGTCGCGAAACGAATGATTCGAGAGAAGGGAGAAGCGCGCGCAGCGGCGTCGAGGGTGCAGGGGCGCGGGCCGCGGTAGGGGGCGCGCGCCCGGCGTGCGGGGCGCGGGCGGGCCGGGGGGCACACGCGCGCCACCGCGCGGCGACAGGTGGCCACCGCGCCGGCCGGTTTACCTCCCCGCAGCCCCCCGCCCGATATTACACTACACAGGACCTGGATTAACTTTATTGCACAGAGGTCGATATAAAAAGCTGTATTAGTTATGTACTCGTCCACCACGTAGACGCGCTGTAGCCTAGAATCAACACCTCCCAAATCGTAGGTACACAGTACACACCCTGAACGTGACTTGGCAACGGGATCGATATTGTAATTTATTGCGACTAAAGTTGCATATGTAGGGACTGACAGACTGCGGCCGATCAATGTATAGGGAGCCTACGAGCCTAGACTACAATACCTACGCTACAGTACTTTCAGTAGATGAGACGAAGTTTCATTGAAATTGTTAAAAAACAGACTACCCTCATTTGGCGGCAATGGGTATGAGTCGACGAACGCAACCTGTTGATTAATTTTGATAAAGTTAGTACAAAAGGAATGTTTCTGATTGTTTAATCAAGTCATATATCGGTTCATATACTAAGTACAGTGGGTACGATATGCACGTGGTACTGGGCTGCTTCGCCTTTGTTTTATTGGAAATGTTATTAACGCATTGTTTATTTGATAAAAATGAGGTTGTTAATTTTATCAGAGCGACCTTCGGCGATGAAAGCATAAACATTGTAATTGCGATGATATTATATTACAATGTAATGTACAGAATATCATTTGTCATAACAAATGAGTTTATACTGTTATTACTTCTTAGTAGCTTTGTGGGAGGTTATGGAGGTAGACTCATATATCTCATCATCCATCATCATAAAGCGTCTCTGTAACTGACATTTTTTGATAAAATTCTTGTTAAATCATGTAAAAAAATTGGAGCAGTTGTTGATCCATATTTGTTTGTAAAATAAAAAATTTTTGGTTCGTCAATCATAAAAGAATTTTAGATCTGATTATTAAACTGTCAAACACCAAGCGGTCACCGGTGACCGCGACCTATTGTTCTTTAATTGTGTCTATAAAACCGGTACTCGACGAGTTAAGTACATTAGAGGTATATAGTTTCAATGCAAGCTGAGCTAAATAATTAGATCTTTACTTTTATAACACTAATACAATATAACACATGTTATGTAGTAGGTAGATAAGATGTAGACTAATAAAAAAGGCTATACTATTTTACCCACATAACACAAATCACATCCCAGAAATGAGATCCCTTATTCTCGTTCGGCGATACAACCACTCGACCAACGATGCAGAGGTAGATAATTAATTAAACCTCGAATTATTCCCGCTAACTATAATCTATACAAATAAAATAAAAAGGAAAACAAATTTTTATCGTGTAAGTCACACTTACTTGTAAACTCGAAAACGGCTGGTCAGAATATCATGAATTTTATATTGTTATAATACTTAGATTTGTCTCAGTAATATGTAGGTGAAAAATGTATAATTTTTTTCACACAACAATCAATTATTTTCTATACACTACGCGAAGTTTGTCCAAATAGCTAGTTAATTAGAAATACATTCTTGCTACTTAAGTTAATTACTGGTACAGTAGTTACGACAGACGGACTGACAGATCCACTTACTTGATTGGACCAACTTGATTTACTCTGACCAGACAATCTTTATGCTCCCCTAAGCTTCTACAAACTTATTTGACGTTAGTACCGTACCAAAATAATTGCTATTTGAGTTATTTCAGACTTGATTTAATTCTTTATTGCTTCGTTATCTCAAATGTCTAACTTGAATACGACTATTGACCAAAAGTTTCGTGTTTTCGGTTTTCGCAATGACTTTCGAAGATAATAATGAGATGTAGTGTACCCATGTGATTAGGCTCACCCCATAATAACATGGGATTCATAACATAACTGGTGAAAATGGGTTTTAAATACCCACTCTGCTTACCGTTTTGAGGAATAAAAGGGGTTGTTAAGTATGTAATGTATGTTATAATGTTGATTGAATAAACTTGATTTATTCTGACTGGACAATACTTTGTAGTCTCACAGGCAGTGGCGTAACTGCAGGGTGGCAAGTCAGCAAAATGCCACGGGCCTCCGTCCAGAGTCGTACCAGAACTTTTCGGTTTTAGGTCTTTGCCATCTGATAAATTTGCTACGGGCCTCGAATACCTAGTATAGTTACGCCACTGTCCACAGGGTTTTCCCTTCAAGATCAAATTCGAGAAGTTGTGTAAGGGCACAAGCGCCCTACCTAATCAACGACATAATCGGTATTATAAACATAAAATTAAATAAAGAACGGTCAAATTAAAAGTCCCCTTAACCGACGAGCATGCATGAAAATACTGATTACAGGCGTACTGAAGACAGGCGTGAAACCTCACGCCTGTCTTCCATGGGGTATTTTTACATACATACATAACCATGTATGTATGTAAAAACAAAAGTTTATGGACATCTAAAAGGTCCATCTAAGATTTTAGAGCATAACAGTTTTCATAATTTGAATCCCTGAAGACGGTACGTTACTTGTGCACACTGCAAACATTAATTAGTGTATCTAACACGTACTTGTATTTACAACCAAGTCCTTCGTCAAACAGTTACGTGAGTAACCGAAAAACATAATAATTTATTTATTTACAACCAATTGCGTTATATATAAGTGTCGTGTATCGCCAAACAATCCCAAGCCCCGTCCCATTATTTACTAAAAAAATCGAATACTAAAAAGCTCAATACTTCTTAGTGCGACCATACTCCGAGTTGAACCCGAATTTCGGGATCACTCGACCAGTTATCGTTTTTAATAATCATTCATTTTATTCATTGAATATCACTTTACATTGTGACATGATTCACTTTCACCCAGATCCTAATTTACACAATCCATCCAAATTCTTTAGTCAACCACATACAAAAGATTCCAAAATACGGGTCTATGACGAATGCTCATCGATAACGGCATCATTGTTCAAAAAAGCAATTAAGAGAATTAGCCCGTAGTAGAAAATTGTATAAGCACAATGGCAAACAATAGAAAAATGCTGAAAGCTTGAATGCAAAGTTGATTACGAGTGCGTAAGAGAACAAAATGTACTTGGTACTTACAAGCGTATCTGATTTGGAGATAACGTCCACGTGACTAGTCCATGCGTCACAAAAACGTGTAAGCTAGTAGATAGCCTACTTTACTACCATGGTGTGGTATTCCGGCATCCTAATTATGTGAAAAATGTGCGCCGGAAACGATAGATTTGAAATCAAAAGAAATTATGCTTCCGAAGTGCCAAGATTATTTTTGGTAACAGTGAAGTTATGCGGAAGCTACTATTTTAAAACGATTAATTTGCTGTTAGGCCAGTTAAGCAGTCATAATATAGGTACCTACTAAACCTACTTACAGCTCCCCTGGTGATGTTGTTGCCAAAAAACTGTATACCTTTTTTATAGTTATCTTTTTTTACGTGAGGATACCAAGGAGATTGGAATATTTGCTACTTTAGGTTTTAGATACAAGAGAGCTACTCTTGTACATCTAAAGCATGCATCACCTAGGTATCGTATCAGAACCCTACTTCCTGGAACCCTTCTAGAAAAACATAAAATGTAGTAAGTACCTAAATACATTCTATGCATCTTCACTCTTCAGACATCCAAATGACTCACAAGCTTTCATTCTATTAACAAGATGAATGTAAATCAAGGGACAACGGAGATTTAACCTATTCACAGCTATGTATAGGACGAGTGAATCAATCCTACAATTGGCGTGGTACTCCCAAGTTGTCGCCATTTATGTCATCATCATAATAGCCAGGAAACGTCCTCCGCTAAGTATCGGGGTTCCCTCGTAAGTTCAAATAAAGTGGCCATACTTCGAGCCAATGAAGCACTTACACTTTTAATGTTAACTTTTAGATAATGAAGTCGTTTTTGCAAGCCTTTAAGAATTTTTATCAATTCCTGATTGCAAGAGGTTTTTAAATGTTTTGGTTTGCCAAAATGAAACCCATGCCCTGAACAACTATTAGGCGGGTTGATAAACATATAGGACTATTCTGTGCAGGAATCTAATGAGGGGCACGTTGCACTGGATCGGATTACCCGCAACACTCCTCCAACCTTGCAATTAGTTATAATCAAGCAGACTAATAGCAACCGATCGGGAAGAATGGCAATGAAAAATTAATTTATCTCGTCGGCTAAAAGAGATTTCCTCATATAACCCGGGAAAGAACCTGTCACTTTTAATATTTTGGCTGATGCGATGACTCGCTCGCTTCCGACTTCTGTGTGTCATCTAACAACCGACATTGTCGCAATCATAGCAAAATTTTTAAAATCTATTTAGTTGTGTCGCGTACATTCGAATTCCCCGACAACGGACTTAGGATACTTTTTAATGGGACAAGCCGGCAACCGAACAAATGGATGATCTGATGGTTTGATGAAATCGGCGGCGACCATAGACATCTAAAACTCCAAGTGCGCTGTCGAACTTTTCTATTGTTAGGGATTTGATGATTGGGGAAATAGTAAGTATGAGATGGGCTTTGCTTAAGTCAAAGTGAAACTGAAGTTTTAAAGTTGTGGAAAAACCTTACCCTTTGAGTACCGTCATTATAGACACAATTAAAGAACGATAGGTTGCGGTCACCGGTATCCTCGCGGTGTTAGACAGTTTAAAAAGTCTATATAATAGGTCAAATCGCGCATGAATCCATTACTGATTGGACTCTTGGGGATGTATCTATGTAAGTACGAACGTAACTAGTGCGTTTTAATATAAGACTGTTAGCCTTTGGGTCAGTCAGTCCCGTCGCGAAAAGTAGAGGTGTTCTGTATGCTACACAACTTACGATTTACTTAATTGTACAGTTAATTGGTACTTGCCAACTATACCTTTTTTCAAACTGTCAAAAAGGACAGACCTATAATATGAATTTTGTACGAGATTGTGTAGTGACGTCACGTTTTTTTAGCGTCAAACAGCATACTTACTTATTTCGTAAAAAAAATATCAGAAAAATACTAAAATTAAGTTGGTCATAAAATCGATTAATGGAGGTGTGATTATTTTTTAATATTTTATTGTATTGAACAGTCGAAATAATTTATTATAGATCAAGGCAAGTACCCAATTGCTCTGCATCTGCACAGTCAAATCGTAACCGTACATTAGGGTAACTGGCTACGTTGTGTCATTTGACGAATGCATACATCCTTCAGAAACAATAGGCGGCCTACAAATGACAATTAATGCTTGCATCTTGATTAGGAAGGATGAAAACTGTCCACGAAGCGGTAACTTTAAATCCGCCCATCGTTTTTGATGATTGCATGGACAGTAGAGGGCTTTTATTCTACTATCAATAATTATCCATCATCAATAATCGGATAATTATCCACCACAGAGCGTTGCCGTTTGCCCACCACACCTTTCTTTTAGTAGAACCCCCAAACAGGAATTCTTTGCCAGTTTGTTTCTTGATAGGAGAACCTGGGTTTCTTTAAGCCCCGAGTGAACAGGTTGCTCATGTTGTTGGTTACACGCGATATAGCAGCGGAACGACGGCCCACTGCGAATAAAAAAGGAATACCCTTCGGTTCGGTGGGGATACCCGAACCAAAGAAAAATATTTCTCATCGCGTTGTTGTTTAACACCTACATAGAACGTACGTACATCTATCTTAGCTCTCTCAAAACACGCGTGAATTATGAAATGATTTTACCAACCTACAGATCTATACAATAAAATGAAATCACAAAATAAGTACTAAAAATAAATAATTTATTAACGTGTTAATGACTACGGGTTGTTCTCTTTGGTATCATCATTCTCGAGTTCAGTTAGCTCGTTGTATCCCGTGTAGTAATTGTAGTCATCCTCGTCTTCATACTCCTCGTCATCATCAGCTTCTTCTACATCCTCCACCTCCTCCTCTTCTTCCGTCTCCTTCTCCGCCAGCAGCCACTGCTCCTGAGATTTGTTCTGCTTCGAAAGTTTCTTTTGAAGAATCTGAAATTGTTGTTTAAAATTGGTTTTAGACCTGACCTTAGTATTTAATCCTGATCTTTGGCATTGGAATCACTTGTTTATAATTATGTATGTTTATGTAAGTAAAACGGGGAATTTGGATATTATCACAATTTCCAATTGGATCTCAAAAGCCCATAATTTCTTTTGTTAACAGGATTTTTTTTCTAAGGAGGGAAACATCATCGAACGACTGCGCCTGCCTGGGTGAGGCGGGAGGGAGTGTCAGACTCTTACTGACCAAAAACCACCCCGTTCCTTTTCCTGCACGTCGAGCCGGACCCCCGGTAACCCGTTAGGTTCTCCGCGACTTTGTTAACAGGATAGGGGCAAATGAGCGGATGTAATGTCTATGAAAGTGAATGAACTTTCAAAAATGCAGTTGTTACTCTATTTTTTTTAAAAAAAAATCGTTGCCCCACACTAGGATTTTCTCCTGTATCGTGGGTGCGTTTACAAACATACAAGTTCACATACACATGACACCCAGACCCGGAACAACCATCAGTGGATAACACAAAGAGTTGTTCCGCACGGGAATCGAACCCGCGACACGTTGCGCGGCAGCCAGTTGCCTAGCCACCGCACCAACCGTGCTGCTGTTCTCTAAGTTTTAGAGTTTTTTTTTGAACATTCACGTTTGAGTAAGCCGGATTCTTTTTTCTTTATTATCACCCGTGTATCATTTGTGTATGTTTGGATATTCAATCCGGTTTTATTGTACGAGGGCAAAAAGTTTCTCGACAAACTTAATTTGGTAAATAGATGCGATAGATGGTCCACACAATTACTTTAATCGTGGCATATTAAATTGCCATTGTCATATTCACAGTGTAACAAGATGGGTGTTTCAAACTTGTAGTGACATCGATCAATCGCGGAGATAAAATTACGTAATGTTCGAAGCGTTAAAATCAACGTACAGCATTTGGGCCGAGGCTGCCAGACACGAAAATAAAAGAGAAAACCTGCCCAAAAAGGCTTTTTTCTGAGGCCGAAGAAAATAAAAACTAAATTGAGCAGATTTCAGAATTACGAATAAGAAGAAAATATTTTTTTAAATTACACCAGCAATTTTAGGAACATTGCATTGAAGAAATTTATGTTTTCAGCCATACATTAGTAAAGATAAACTCTAAAATAAATTATATATCTAACCTGTCTCTGCAGTAAGAAGTCGGCCAGCTCTTTTCTCTGGTTGCCAACATCTGGAACTTTATAAGGAGTTGTTCTATATGATATGACGTCTGAAGAGTCTGTGTTGATAGTACTCCAAGCGTCATGGGTCTTCTTCCTAGCTGCCAGCAGTCGGCTCATTATCTTCGCATGGTCCAGCCCAAATATGCTGTGAGTCATCTCAGGCAATGGATCCTCGAAGACTGGTAGATCATCTTCTAGTTGCTTTATTTTAGCCTGTGGAGAGTGAGACAGTTTTTGGTTTTAAATATTAATGTGAAGTACCTGTAACCCTAGAGTGGGCGCGCCTTTTTGCGAAACGTCTGTGGGCGCGTGGTGAGAATTTTGGCGCCCGGCGAAACAGTGGAAACAAACATGTTCTTAACCGGTCCTCAGCGCACTTATAGAGTCAAATCTTTCAGCAGGTATAACTAACGACACTAAAAGCACCTATTATAAAGTGCAAAACTACCAGGCAATCGTTTAAAAAGTTATCAACATTTTTTTACGCAGGCGCCAATATGTTCGTAGTGCTCTCACTAGGGATTTTTTGAAGTATGATTTGCATTGAATGTAAAATATTCGAATGTGGCACAAATGGCACTGTCTCACAAAAAACCGGCGTTATGTTACATCGTGCGAGGCCCAATTCGGACCACCACTGTTCACAACAAAGTGCAATACAGGTTGATTTACCAGGCAAAAGGCTCTTTAGGTTTCCGAAAATTACCTTTTTAAGGACTAAAAGGCGTGTTGTTACGTTTACGCAATAGTTGTGTGTAATAAAAATGTTTCTTTACCTTCACTTCAGGTGATAATTTGGTATTTAAAGTGAATTCAGATTTTAGCAACTGCCCCAAGTCTGTGGGAACATAGTCCTCACCATAGTCAGCCATTGCTAGACGGCGATCCAAGTCTACTAGATGAGCTTCTTGTTTATCTGTGGACAGGTAAATAAACATTTGTTTTATCTTTCATAGTCCCAGTTTTCAATGCAGAAATAGGATCATCTGAGGATATTATAACCCAAATAAAGGAATGATAAAGATATTTTACCAGTTTATTTTAAATATATTGATAAAAATGTTCTATGTAGAAAACACCTGTATATTCTATGTAGGTAAGTAAAGTATGTAACTATGAATCCTTACAAACATAGCAGGCATAAAACATAAAACTATGTATTATGCTTAGCTCAAGTGCATTTATTTATATTACTAGCTTTTACCCGCGGCTTCGCTCGCGTCACAAATGAATAAAAAGTAGCCTATGTGACATATACAAATACACACAGCGCCATCTATACCAATACTTTTGTTTTTCCTCGGGAATATCAATTTTTTGCGGGTTAAAAAGTACCCAATTATTTAATCCGGACTTCTAACTTTACGTCTGCAAAAATTCAAAGCAATAGGTTGAGTAGTTACGGCGTGAAGGTGGAACAAACAAACAAACTCACTTTCAGATTTATAATATTAGTAAGGATTTATAAACAAAATGAAAATAAATTATGTTTATTTGTTTATCAAAAAATTACACAGCTAACTAATTAACACTTAACAGGTTTTTTTAGAAATCATACTAAAAAAGGTTCAAGTTTGTCCCAGAATGTGCTGCCAAATAGTTTCTGTCAAATATGTGATCTCCTTGTGAGCTCTTACAACACTACAAGAAAAGGGTTCAAACAGAGTTTTTATAACACAATAAAATCAATATGACACCAATTATTTCTTTACCTTTAACAAACACAATGTAAGGCACCTCTCCCATGACCCTGAGTGTGGACAGCTCACGTCTCAGGCCACCGGCTACTCTATTCAATATCTTCTCAGTTTCAGCGTCGGAAGCATTGCCTTTGCACACCCAGAACACATTGACTGTGTTCATATCTGGAGTGATATTCACCTGTAAATGAAATTTAAATTTTATTAAAGCGTATACAGGGTGTCTTTGAAGTCGACGATCAAATGGCACCAGGTGATTGGCAAGATTTCAACAGTTATCAGAAGAATATTTAAAAAATTCCAAGTCAGATAGTTTTTAAATTACAATGACTTCAGTGTTATCAACGAAAAAGTACACCCTGTGCCAGTCTTGTTGCTACAATTCTTTATTTTTTAGTCTGTATTTTTTATTATGATATCTTGAATAGTGCTTCAGTATAAAAGAATCTCAACTTTTGAACCAACTGCTTTAGTTTAGAAAAGAATATCATTTTTTGATGAACCATGTATATATTCTCAATAAAATTTTCACCTTACTTTAAGTGACAGTACTGTGTATTGTAAAATACGATGTAAAATGAAACGACGCTTGAAAGTGACAAGTAACGACTCGAAGCTGTATGTTCACATCAGAGATGTATCGACATCCCGAGAACTGTGGGATAAACTAAGAAGTTTATTTGATGATTCAGGTTTTACGAGAAAAATAAGTTTACTGCGTACTTTAACCTCGATTCGTCTAGAAAACAGTAACTCAATGGCGTCGTATGTTACTCAGTTGATAGAAACTGGACAGAAATTAAGTGGTACGGGTTTCAATATTAGTGACGAGTGGATTGGGTGCCTTCTTTTAGCCGGATTGCCTGAAAAATATATGCCTATGATCATGGCGATCGAGCATTCAGGAATAGGTGTCACAACGGACGCCATTAAAACAAAATTATTAGACATGGCGGAAACGGATGTCAACGTGTGTCGTGAAACAAGTGCATTCGCAAGTTCACGGAAGTGGCAACCTAAGACCAAAAATAAGTCTATGGGCAGTGCTGACGGCCACTCATCTGTCAAATGTTACAAGTGTCAACAAACCGGTCATTACCGGAATCAGTGTCCGAACAATATAGTTAATCAGTTTCATGAGAAGAAAAGTGTTAGAAAACAAACCAACGCATTTAGTGCAGTGTTTCTAAATGGAAATTTTAGTAAGGAGGATTGGTATATTGACTCGGGCGCAAGTACACACTTAACAGCTAACGAAAGTTGGGTCATTAATACCAGATATGGACAGAAAGAGGAAATAATTGTTGCAAACAGCAACAAGTTACAAGTTTTATGTACCGGCGATGTAAATATTATCACGAAAACAGATGAATTTGAGTATGAGGTGCCAATAAAGGGAGTACTCTGTGTTCCGGAATTGACTACAAATTTATTGTCTATAAGCCAACTGTTGAAAAATGGTAATAAGGTCAGTTTTTCAAAGAATGGTTGCAGTGTTTACAATTCAAGTAATGAATTAGTTGCTGAGGCTAATGTTGTCAATGGAGTTTATAAGTTAAGAGTCCCTGAAAAAGTAGTGGTAGCTTCAGCTGTTTCTGGAAATACTTGGCATCGCAGATTGGGACACGTAAATAGTAATTATTTGAGCAAAATGGTCACTGCAGTTGAAGGCTTAAATTTAGAAGAAAAAGTTGATATATCTAAGGCGACATGCGCGGTCTGTTGCGAAGGTAAGCAGTGCAGATCACCTTTTAATAGTTTTGGCAATAGAAGAAGTGACAAACTTGAATTAATACATACAGATATATGTGGACCCATGGAAGTTACATCCATTGGTGGTTCTAGGTATTTTCTATTGTTCATAGATGACCACTCACGCATGACTTTTGTATATTTCCTAAGAAACAAAAGTGAAGCCCTGGATAAGTTTAAGGAATTCAAAGCTTTAGCAGAGAAACAATTAAATAAAAGGATCAAGTGCCTGCGAAGTGATAATGGCCTTGAGTTTTGTAATAGAGACTTTTGTTTATATTTGCAGAGAGAAGGGATCATTCATCAGAAAAGTAATCCCTATACCCCAGAGCAAAATGGCTTCTGTGAACGTCGAAATCGCTCAATAGTTGAAAAGGCAAGATGCTTGTTATTCGATGCCCAACTGGGTAAGGAGTTTTGGGCCGAGGCAACCAACACAGCTGTATATCTTCAAAATCGTATTGTAGCGTCAGGTTTAGAAGGAAAAACACCTTATGAAATATGGACAGGAAGCAAACCAAATTTAAGTCATCTTAGAGTGTTTGGTAGCAAGGTCATGGTCCATATTGCAAAAGAGAAGAGGCAAAAATGGGATAAGAAATCAGAACAACATATATTAGTGGGATATCCTGATGGAGTAAAAGGTTATAGAGTGTATAACCCTAGAAGTAAAAAGATAACAACCAGCAGAGACGTTATAATCATAGAACCAACGGACCACAGTGAAGTTATGTTGCCATTAGAAAGATCTGGACAAAATACTCAAATTATAGAAGAAGATACTATTATAGAAGATAAAGAAGATACTGATGAAAGTGACACTACATTTTTTTCTGATGAAACTTATGTACCTAGTGATATTGACTTAGATAGCAGTCAAGAAACACCTGTCAAGTTTGTGCCGAAACCTGTGAGAAACAGAAAGCCAGTTGAAAAATTTGGTTTTTCAAGCATGCACACTAGTGAAGAAATGTTAGATGATGCCAATGACCTGACACTGGAAGATGCACTGAAAGGTCCTGAAAGGAATAATTGGCTTGACGCTATCAGTGAGGAAATACAAAGTTTCAATGATAACGATGCATGGGAGCTTGTAGATGCCCCAGTAAATAGAAATATAGTGAAGTGCAAGTGGGTGTTAAAAAAAAAATATGACTGTGACAATAATGTGCGTTTTCGTGCGAGGCTAGTAGCCAAAGGTTTTATGCAGAAAGAAGGTGTAGACTATGTAGAGACTTTTTCACCTGTGGTGCGTCACACTACACTTAGACTCTTATTTGCTTTGGCTGTTCAATTGAATCTAGATATTACACACCTAGATATCACAACTGCTTTTCTGAATGGGGACCTTGAAGAAGTTATTTATATGCAGAAACCAGATTGCTTTACAGATTGTAATAAAGATGGTAAAGTTTTGAGACTTAAAAAGGCAATATATGGCCTAAAACAATCTTCGAGGGCCTGGTACAGAAAAGTTGATGATTGTCTTGTTGCTTTAGATTATAAGAGATCTGAAATTGAGCCTTGTCTATATATTAAAGATAATAATAATTGTAAAACTATAATAACATTATATGTCGATGACTTTTTTGTATTTTCGAATGATGCAGTAGAAACAGAGCACTTAAAAGGTGTATTAGCTTCACAATTTAAACTTAAAGACTTAGGAGAAGTAAAAAAATGTCTAGGAATGAAAGTATAGATAAAATAAATAAAGTTGTGATGTTAAGTCAGGAAAGCTATGTAAACCAATTGTTAAAGAAATTCAATATGTTAGAATGTAAACCTGCTGATACTCCAATGGAGATTAAGTTAAGTTTAAAGAAAACTGATGATAATAGTAACAATGTTAAGTACCCTTACCAAAAACTTATTGGCTCCCTTATGTACTTAGCTGTAATGACACGGCCTGATATAATGTTTTCTGTTGTATATTTAAGTCAGTTTAATAACAATCATGAAAGTAAACATTGGTTGTATGCTAAAAGGGTCTTGAGATATTTAAAGCACACAAAACATTTAGGTTTAGTTTATAAGAAGGATGGTAATTCAAAATTACAAGGTTTTGCTGATGCTGATTGGGGTAATAATGTTGTCGACAGAAAATCATATACAGGGGTGTGCTTTACTCTATCAGGTGGTGTTATCTCATGGGCATCTAAGAAACAAAATACAGTTGCTCTGTCAAGCACTGAAGCAGAGTACATGAGTATCACGGAGGCATGCAAAGAATCAATTTACTTAAGATCCTTGATCTGTGAAATAACAGGAGAATTGTATACTGTAACTATCTTTAATGATAATCAGGGTGCTCTAAAATTGTCTGTTAATAATTTATTTCACAATCGCACAAAGCACATTGATGTGAGACATCATTTTTGTAGAAATTGCATTAAAGATAAGATTGTTAAATTAGAGTTTTTAGAAACGACAAAGATGCCAGCTGACCTGTTTACAAAAAGCTTGCCTATTGTAAAGCATAACTACTTTTTAAAAACACTTGGAATTGAAGGTACTAAGTGATTGTTGTTTATTCTGTATCCTAATGAAACATTTGTTTATTTTGATAAGTGGGGGTGTTGTAATGCATCAAAATAATTAATACATAATATGCCGCTGCCTTCTATTGATAAGATATGTAAGCGGGTTAAAAATGTCATAAACAATAATCCTTGTCTATGTTTGTCTATGTTGTTTTTTTTATAATTTAAAATAAAAGTCAGTCGTTACTTGTCACTTTCAAGCGTCGTTTCATTTTAGGTAGTAGCGACAAATTTCACAAAAATTGGCGCATTTAATAAAAATTCTAAAATGGTATACCACAACCTACATTATTTCTTATTCAACACAAAAATAAATATTTTTCAACAAAACTCCGTTTCGAACAATTTATTTGTACTTAAGTACTTAGGTACTAGTTAAGACTAATATCTCAAGTCTTCATTAGACAACAGTGTTAGATAACTGGGCAAAAACAGTTTTACTTTTGCTACCAACTTACTAAGAATTAGCTAAAAAAAATCTTATTGCGCTTATTAACGACAATATTGCATACTTACTCTTGAAATTTCAATTCCTCGTCCCACTACATCCAAAGCAGTTGTGCCCGTAGACATCATGTCAGTTATATGTTTCATAAACATTTTGTTCAGCATGGATGTGCGCCGCATTCCACGCTTCCCAGGTTCGTGCTTTTGCAGCGTTAGGCTCTTTACAGTTGGTAAAGTATTTTCGAAGAATTGTTGTGTGGGGTGCCATTGCCTGAAAACCGACCAAAACAATCACATAACCTCAAAATACTAATATTTTGTGGCAAAGTCAAGAAAATGACAGCTACCTTTTATTCTTCGGATTCACCATTTTACATAGTTTTAATCCTTGCTTCTTCAAACTGAAAGCGATGCGGGAGACATGATAAAGCCGATGAAAAGAAATCATTTTCTTCACAAATGTAAAACAATTAACTCAAAAATCTCATATAACCAGTTAACGATGTACAAGTCTACAATATTTCGAAATAATGAACGTCTCTTGTCAAGAAAAACAAAACAATACAGATATTACATTTAAATAATTATAATAAGAATTCCCAATTCGAATATTATTCATTGTTGGTTTGACGTTTTTGTCAACCGACACTGTCACTTGCGAAGTTGCGACACCTTGCTTGTTGCTTGCTAAAAGTCGCAACCTTAGTGGGGTGTCCAATGCGTTTATGGACGCAAGCAACACAGTTCAATGGACAAGTGGGACCGCGCTTTTACTCGTAATCCAATCGTAATCTTACCTTATTAGAGAATCAGAAGAGTATGTGTATCTTTAAAAATGTATAACTTTTATTATATTTTCTGAACCGATACGACCTGCAAACCTTCAAGAAAAGAGCGTATTCCTTTTTTAAATTGTCGGCAACGGGGTGTTTCTGGCCGCTTACCATCAGGTCATCGGTTTACTCGTTTGCTCAAGTCTGTCATTAAAATTAAAATCTCATAAAACTTACAGTGAAACCAACCCTTTTCCGCAGCCATGTTTGAAACCAAAGACAAAATTGACGCGCGTGGGAGGAGTCGTGTTGTTCCCGCCAATGCCCGCCAAATATCTGTCAAATTGTCAAAATCAGGCCTACTCGGGATAAGTTTACGTGTTTAAGGTTGTTTATTTTTATGTTTTATTTAGTATTCCGTACAGTGAAATCATTGTGAAAATGTCTAATCTAGACGAAAGTGAAGAAAATTTAATAGCTTTAATGGACAGTCTTTGTTCAGATCTAAATGTTGACCCTGTTGCTGCGAAAAAGGCTAAGGACTCATTTTTACATTTAAAACGACATTTTACTTTAGATGTAAGTATCTGAGGATAATTTCTTCGTATTTTTAATACAATGAACACCACACGTTCATATTAATTCACATTACCATATAAAAATTATAAGCTTCCTTGCTAGTTGTTACGTGTGTCGATTCATTAGTTCCCTTGAAACTCTTGTTGTGAATTAAATAGTTCAATAACGTTTATTTAACCTTTTGTCTTTAATAATATTGTAGTATAGTATCAAGTATGCCTTTGTGATTCCAGTTAGCGTCTTTTTGTAACCTACAACTTTCACCTGGTGAAATAATGCTTACGAGTCTGTTATCTAAGCGAATATGTCAATTGATGCACCATTATTCCCTAAGAAACTTATTCTACATTAATTCATAATCAGAGAGAACTAATTTACAAAATATTTTTCCCTAAGCCTTTGTTTACATACCTCCATGGCATGGCATGGTTAGGATTGCTATGATAGTCACTAGATTCTTATTCATTTATCTCGGTTTTTGTAGGGTGATACAGGGCATTGGATGGCATGTGCCCTGTATGTGGCATGCAGGACCTCTATAACACCAACTGTGCAGTCTGGGAAGGCTGTAGAAGGGAACTGTGTTAGTCTTACCAAGCTATTAAGACTATGCAACATAAGGTTACAAAATATCTATTTAAAAATGTTACTTTAAATAATTAATGTTATTTTGTATCTTACCATTTTTACTTGATCCCCAGTCTGATTCAGTTCTTCAAAAAAATCAAGAATTGGATGGAGATGGCTTTAATGTCAACTGAGTTTAGAGATAGGATATCTCATTTGGAGCACAAGTTTGCAGTATCCACAGTCCTATACAGGAACTTCCAGCCCATCTTCCAGGAAATCTTTTCTGGTTTGACTAATGAGCCTTTGAAACCTAGCACTATTAAGAGAAGGTCCAAGTAAGTGTATTTTCTTACTAGTCTTGCTTGTATTATTATTATTATTGAATATTTCAAAGGAAAAGTTCAAGAATAGTAAATGATAATGTGATGTAAATATTAATTACATTCAGGCCAAATATAAATATTGATTTATAATAATAATTGTACAAGAGACCTATAACTTTAATTCTCTGATATTATAAAAAGCAATTTTGAAATGAAAGTGTCTATTATATAGAAATAACTTGGCTATAAAATTATAGTAATGATAAATACATTTTATGTCTTTACGCAGGAACCAACCTTGTAGTACAAATGCTCTGTATGAGTTCACCTGGTGTTTGTACATATGTGTTAAGGGAGAGTTCCACAAGTCTGCTCATGATCTTGTAGACATGTACCATCTGCTGCTTGCATGTTTAGACTTTGTGTTCGCCAATGCTTTCTTGAGCAGAAGAATTGATTTAATTAATCCTGCCTTCAAAGGTATGTATTATTTTAATATATTTTTTCTTTTTAGAGTTTAAAATTTTAATGCCATCCCCATATCACTGCTGGTATGGGGATCTATAGTAAAATCTAGATATCTACTTAGTGTCATGTAATTGGTAGTGTTATTTAAGTAATGTATAATGAGTCAAAATTATTGAAATAATTAATTGGGTACTTACCTTAATCCAAAATAAATTATTATTTATTTCAACTGTTCAAAACAATAAAATATTAAAAAATAATCACACTTTCATTATAGACTTTATGACCAAATTAATTTTAGTATTTTTCCAGCAAATTTTTAAAAAATATTAATTCTGATTGACTATAAAAAATACAGTCACAATACAAAATTCTTAGACAACTGTCATTTTTGACTTTGACTAGTTGGCAAGTACCCAATTGATTGTTGTTGTAATATTATTAATATTTTCAGGTGTACCAAAAGATTGGTTAAGTGATGACTTCAAAATGCCGAATACTGCACCATGTATCATGTCCACATTGTGTGAGATAAAGAATGGTCTACTAGTAGATGCTGCTTCAACTAAGGAGTACAGCTGGAAACCTGTTCTGAAATCATTCTTTGAAAAACAAGTAAGTTTTACAAGCATATACAACTTGATGCATTTAAAAAACGCAATAGTAAAAAAGTACCTTCCAGTTCCTAAAAGGTTTTAGTTTCAGCTATGCTAGTTGGACATTGATTAATACCTTTTACAAACTACATTTATTAATGTAGGCTATCATTTTTACTGAAGTTTTTCTGATTAGAAATTAGGAAATTCAATTTAGCTTCTGTTTTGTTTAATGTGTCTTAATTGTTGTCAGTAAACAGAGTGATTTTTATTTTATTTAATACTATAGTTACTTTAGGAAATAGCTATTTAATAAGGCATATATAATAAACATAGAGAAGGTCATTTCAGACATAATATCATCTCCTACTTATTCACTAGGCTTCCAACATGCCGAGTAGATCTGTTCAGCTCTTTCACTTCAATATAAACAGTACTAACCCGCTTCTGTGAAATGCGGCCTTACCTTTATCTGATTGATAGTAATAATTGATTAGCTTGAGTTCTGAACAAAAAGAATATTATATTGTACTTTGCATTGAGCTGTGCATTGCAGTGCATTGCTGATTTATTATCTTGAATAATTTGTGATTGTTAATTTCCAACATGATTATTTTATTAGTTATTTATAGAAAGAACATGGTATGTTTTAAATTTTTACTGTGCATTTTTAACATTGCAGTATTTTTAAAGTTATTATTATTCCGAATGCATCTTCAAAGGAGGTAACCATTTTAACTGTTTTTAGATTCTGAAAGGTGATAAGGAACAGCTTTCCGGAGTCCTTGATGTAGGATATTTCGATCAAAATCTTAAATCATTGAACAATTTATATGAAACTTATGTTTTAAGTGTTGGAGAATTTGATGAACGCATATTTTTGGGTAAGCTAACCATTAACTGCCGTAATTAAAAAAAAATACGTAAAGAGGTTTTTACGAAACTGTTCAAAAAGGTTTTATGCATGTTGCTGGCCAATAACACCATAAATGAAATAAATAAGAAATAATTAAAAAATAACAGTTGTCATTTGTCATTTTTCGCAGCCGCTTTGCGAGTCGTAAAAATAATGTCGAATATTTATTATTTGAATCCCATTTTAACTTGCTTTGTTGATTATGAAGGTACATTTAAATCTGTTATAATCATTACTGTAGTAGTAATATGTATATTGCGGTCAATTAATTTTTCCTTATTTTTAGGTGAACATGCAAATGAACAAATTGTAACTTCCAATAAAGTGTCTGGAGATGAAATATCACAAGTTATTGCTACATTTGGCCCAGTAAGTTACGAATTAAATTATCTTAAAAATTAATAATTGGCAGAAGTCTATATCAACATCATCAATAATAGAGAAATGCCTAAAATAATATTGTATTAACCAAGAATTTAACTAAGATCTTGCTTAGCCACCACACTTACTTGAAAAACAAGCCAGTATTACTTGAATGTTTCTATAACTGTTTATTTGTCATCAGAGTAACCGAGCCTGCCACGAGACTCCGCTAACAGGACGCCGGTACTTAGCTCGCCGGGACGAGGAACTCACACCAGTTTCTGAAGCTAAGAACAGCCTCGCTCGTCTCGCTTCCTACCTCAGAAATGCCAAACCACAACCTTCCAGAGACCTCTTGAAATTGTTCTCGTAAGTATAATTAATTGGAAGTTATCTTTTCACAAGTGTATTCATTTGTGTGCAACTCGTTATGGCGCGGAAAAATATCTAAAGTAGTAAAAATCTTCGTCAAACCTTAGGGTGCCACATCAGTCACCGATGCCTGACGCTAGTGACTAGTGATTTTTTTTCTATTCTTTACATATTTCTACATATCTTTCTAAGAGCGTTAGAGGGGATTGTTATCAAAAACACTTTATTTGTACATTCCGAAATAGTCTGCCGCTATTATTATGTTCTTAACAGTCAAAAGCATAACATAGACTAGCATTCTTTATTTCAATTTCATTTAAATTTTTTTTTTTTTTTTCAGTGATTGCAATGTAAACATGGAGGCAATAAACACGAATTTAGTACAGCCATGTAACCGGTGGATGGAGAAGTTTGCTAACAGTTTGAGAGAGAGCAACACCACTTCCAGTAACGAGACTATATCATTCAGATGTAATATGGTCACCTGTTTGTATTACAAAGTGTTTGAACATATCATCAGAGAAGAGCATCGGAAGAAACCACAAGTGTCCTTAAATGTAAGTAAAATTTTGAATTTAAGAGTTATGGTCAAAAAATTTTGGCAGGTCTCTAACGAACAACTTGAACCGTGTCCTACAAACAGGGGCACTCAATAATAAAAGGACTTACTACCAGTTTGTTTTACGTTTAAAGTAATATAAACGAGCACGCGTTCTTCGCTCTGATTGGCCGGTCCCAATGAACCAACCAATCAGAGCACCGGACGTGGTCTCAAAGACAAAGATTATTTATTTCCAAATCTCGTTTCGATTACTTTAAATGTAACATAAACTCCTGCTAAGCTTAAACCCTCTGATTGGTTGGTTCATTTAGCCGGCCAATTAGAATGCCAAACTCGTACTATCAGTGCATAATAGCGTGCGAGGTTTTTTAACGGATAAGGCGACAAACGAACAAGCTAGACACATACCGGTAAGAATTGAGCGTGAGCGCCGCCCGTGGACATGCGCAACACCAGAAAAGATGGAAATGCATTACCGCCCTACAGGGGTAGGGAAGGAGATGCAATGTTCGTTGTAATTAAATAATTGTCTATTGAAACTAGCAAATGTTCAATCAAAGTCAGTGTCCCTTAGATAGAAAGTCCAATTAGTTACTCAATCTGTCCGATAAACCTCCTGAAATATGCAAAAAATGTTTTCAAAATCAATTTCAAGCTAGTCTTGTATACCTCACGGTAATTTAGAATTGGTCGGAGAGAATTTCACTTAAATAATACGTAAAATAAAGTACATAACTATTGCACATACATTCTCTTATCAGAACCAAATGCATTTATTTTTGCATGATAAAGATACAGTTTTGTATTTTTCCTCTGGTTATCTATTATCTTTATAGGCAATCTAGTTTCACCTATCACTTACTTTCTTATAAAATGACATTTTATCAATATTGTAATAATAATAATACAGACTGCACAACAAATGTCAATAACCGATTGAATGATAATACGCAGAATTTAGTTGGTGCATTTTGCAATCACAAAATATGTAAAATATTACGTCACACTCAATAATAGAATCTGTAGATAACACAATAAGGTCGTTTTCACATGTACCTACTGGAACACGGCAGCCGGACCATGTCAAAAGGCAGTAGCAACATGTCACAGGAGAAGTTCAGGAAAACTATTCTGTTGCGTTTAATATAACTATGATAATAACAATTATTTTATGAGTACGGCCTCAACTCGGTCGACGAGCTGTGAGTCGATTGACTGCCGAGCAAGTGTTCTCGAGTTCCATATCGGTCTAGTTCCCTAAAATCCATGACGTTTTTATGTATGTGTTAGAAAATAATTAAACTTAAGCAATAAATTCTTCAAACAGATGCTGCTGACTCAGGAAACCTACCAATTGGCAGTTTACGCGTGCTGTACAGAGATAGTCCTACACGCTTATGGCTTCCACTCGCTGAAGTTCCCGAAAGTATTGCAGATATATGGACTCAGTGCCTTCCACTTCTATAAGATTATCGAGCTTGTAGTGCAGGCGGTCGTCGAGAAACTCAGCCGTGATGTCATCAAACATCTCAATGCTGTAAGTTGATTCATAAAGCACAAAATAGACGATTGAACCGAACTGTGACTTTTATCCAATCCGGATCATACTCGATGGGATGTTCGGTAGTCCGTAGCATATTCTCAATGGAAACCGTCGAACTAAAGTTCCGGTATGGTGGTGGTTCGGGTCGGTAGTCTATTTTATGTTATTACTTTTCTTTACTGCTAATCATTCGCAAGTAAAATATTTTTTCATTACTTAAATTACGGACTAATTATTTTTTTAATTTTCATACCCTGTCATCATCCTAATTGTAGTCAGTGATGGATACTAATGGAGTTACGCTTTCAGGTAGAGGAAGAAGTGTTAGAGTCCTTAGTGTGGACATCAGACAGTCCACTATGGGACCAGCTCAGTAAAACTCCAGTACCAGCATCCATTGACGTTAAAGTTCAGGACTCGCCGCACCGTAGAAGCAGTAAGTACTTAGTACCTTTTAAACTCACTGAAATGTTAGTAGAACAATTTTCCAAAATGGTCTCCTTTACAGATGGTCTTCAGTCACCAGTGTCATCGGTTATGGATCGTTACCTCTCACCTATTGCGGACCAGGCGAAAAAGCAGCTATTCAAAGACACAATCAAACCGGGACAATCTTTACTTGGTAAGATTTTAATAAACATAAGAACCAGTAATAGTTTAGAAGATAACATTCTTAATCCTGCTGTCTTGTCTCTGATATTTTTTCCAGTTGCCACAAACAATACGCCGTCAAAACAAGAGGCTAGCACTTCGCAACCTACTCCAGGTTGTTCAAACGGCGAGTCGAATAGTAACACAACTACACCTAAGAAAACCAATAACTCGTTAATATTGTTCTTTAGAAAGGTAACTCACATTTGAACTTGTGCAATATTTATCTTTCCAGAACGTAAATTCATATTTTTGTGTTCTTTTGTTGCAGTTTTATAGTTTAGCTGTTGTGCGTGTAAATGATTTATGTACTCGACTGCGTTTAACTGACGAAGAACTGAAGAAGAAGATATGGACGTGTCTAGAATATTCTGTGATGCACCAGACGCAGCTTATGAAAGACCGTCACCTTGACCAAATACTCATGTGCGCCGTCTACGTTATATGTAGAGTGAGTACTTTCTGAATATGAGAAAACTTTTGTCAATATAACAAATTTTGGGGAGCTGTATCAAGTAATGGTCATAATAAAATTGCGTTTCATTTCAGGTGTCAAATAATCCTACAAATCAAGTAGAGAGAACATTTACAGAAATCATGCATTGTTATAGACAACGGCCATTAGCCGATAATCATGTGTACAGATCTGTTCTTATTAAACAGAGTGATGGAGAGAGTAAGTAAACAATAGAATTTATTTGAAATATCTTGTCACTACATAATATAAAATAAAGTCGCTATGCGCCGTATGTCTGTCCCTATGTATGCTTAGATCTTTGAAACTACGCAACGGATTTTCATGCGGTTTTTTTTCGTAGATAGAGGGATTCTTAAGGAAGGTTTATATGTATAATACATGCATATTGCACCCATACGACGCCGGGGCGTGTCGCTAGTAGTTTATAAATAGGAAATGGGATAGCATTCTATAAAGCAAAATGTTTGTTTTTCTCAGGTTCACCAGAAAGAGGCGACTTAATTAATTTCTACAATAAAGTGTATGTCCAATGTATGCAAAACTTTGCATTAAGATTTACTGGGAAACATAAAGACGTAAGTGTAATCTATAATACTTATTTTCATCAATAGATCTTGTTTCAAAACCATATCATGCTAATTTTACACATAAATTGTAGGAATGTAGTTTGTCTCCGCTGCCGGCGGGTCGCGGCGATGCGACGTGGTCCCCCGCGGGCCAGCGCGTGTCAGAGAGGCACCAGCTCTACGTCAAGCCTCTCACTACGCCGCCACCGCCGCACCATCATCTCACCTACCGCTTCAGCCGCAGTCCTGCTAAGGTTATTATGATGCTAAATAAGTTATAAGTAGCATTTGTCATGAATTTTATGTTGGCATAATTTATTATTATCTGACTAGGACCTGCACGCCATCAACACAATGGTGTCGTATGAGATGGGCGGGATGGCCACGTCGGTTGGTGCGCTAGGAATGAAGCGCGGCGCTGAGGCAGGTGGAGACGTCGTGAAGAGAGCACGCCTCGCGCACCCCAGCGTGGCACGTCGTCTGCAGGGACTCATGTCCGACCGACAGGCTGTCTAGATGGTACCGACAGTTCATTGCCTCACAATTAAATAATAATTATAAACCTCATACACATTGTAATGAAATTTTTGTTTGTTCCCAGATTCAATCAAATCCATCCAAAATTTACATTCGAGTCTATTTACGTTTTCTTAGTCATATTTATTTCATTTCATTTAGTACCAAAAATCGCTTCTAGCTCTCTAGCCGACGTATTTTTTTCCCTTTAAAAACGTTTTGATTATATGACGAATTCTAATATGTAAATGTGAAATCAATTTTGTTAAGATTGACCGCAATGATTTGACGCTTAGTTTGTCACAACTTGTACTGCAAGCAGTGCCAGAATGCCGCCCGGAGGCAGTGTCACGCGTACTTAGCGCCCCCACGTTGAGAAAAATACATATTGATCTCATTTTTTATTTATGTTGATAATACATATAGTATTGATATGCCATAACTTGAATTTTGCTCATTGCGTAACGTAAGATTTAAGTTATAATAGTAATCGAGTCTTTCGAGGGCTGTGTCAGAATGAATTGGTGTTTCTGAAGCAAGAACACTGTTTTATTTACCAGGTTTCTGCCAACATACAAGTATGTAATTTGATTTATTTTCCATCTTAACATGATTGACTGAATAATTTGTTTGTAGCAAATGTTTTATTTTACTCCATAGTTTTCATATTGTAGGTATGGCGCTACCTAAAGTTAAGTTCCTCGTAAATTTTGTTTATTACAATCTGACATATTTTAGTTTCTTCCATTAATTGTATTATTATTCCTTAGTTTGTAAGTAATCAGAGAAAATTATAAATCAATTTGTTTTAACTACCAATCAAAATTAAATGATTGTATATTTCGGACATAAGCACTATATAATATCATGTATTCTATTAGATTTTACTCTAGATTATAAAATAAAAGATTGTATCCAATATATTGTTTTATTTACCCACTATACAAGTATACATAGAACATAATATTCATTATGTTACTACATCAGTAGCTTATAGTAATGATTGAACAATAGATTTTGCCCAATTAGCAAACAAATCAGCAAAGCTATTATTAGCAAGTTAGATACATAATTCTTAGCTACAATTCAGTAATCTTAATTCTTCATTACATAAAATTGTGCATATTTTCAAAAACACCAAAATACTAATCTTATGTCTACTGCAATCAAAAAGATTCACAAGTAAATTGTATCAGGCTCATCCTGATATTTAATGTTCATTGTCCATTCACATGTTCACTCATTTGATAATTTATTTTTGCACAGCTTAAACACGACATTAGCGCCATATTCAATTAAAATTAAATGAAAATTCCTCAGTCGTCTTCTAGCATTAGTCCATTAATTAGACGGCGTGTATAACTGTTACAAGTCTACAACATCGAGTCACTAGAAGTGGCTTCGGAGCGGCTAGAGGGAGGTCGCTCCGAACAAGTGCTGGAGCCGTGTCAGGTGGCGCGACCCTTGCCTTCCTTGATCGCAATCACATAGCGCTGCGCAACGCGCTCCGCCGGGGAGTAGCCGTCGGCGTATGATGAATCCTGTAAACATAATTATTATAGGTTTAATACATGGACTTCATACTATATTGTAAGTAGTATAACTAGAAAGTCAGTATTATATATGTACATATTATATTCACCTCAAACAGCACTTCATAAGGATCTGCAGCATTAGCAGGTAGCCTGTTGACTACAGCTCTATAGAAGCAGGTGGTTTGTGGATACAACGCCATCACGACTGCGCCCTTAGGAAACAAAGCGTGCTCGTCGACTCGGGGGTCGGCGCGCATCAAAGGTAGAGGCACAACTCGGCGCTTGCTAAGAACGTGGCGATTCTTCTGCTCTTCGTCAATATCATCAACCTCATATTTACCTTGAGCTGGCAGCCAGCTCACCACCTGAAATTATGTATTGGTTAGATAAAACTACAACTCGCCTGACCGCACAGAGAAGACTGGTTAACAGCAAAAAAGTTGTGTGTTACCTCCGCCAATATCCAATTTTCCTCCTTTTCTGACACCCTAACAAGTGCGGCGACAGCGTCTCCCGGTTTTGCAACATGTCCAGGGTCCGGCGGCACGGCCCCGCACAGCGGTGGAGCTCGCTCGCCGACGCGTCCTACGTGTAAAGGCAATGTCTGTGCGGCACTCAGCAACATTTTCATGAGAGCTCCGCAACCAATTGTTTCCTTGTTGCCTGCATACCGAGCCTGAAATATTTTTAATACAAATTGGTATACTTATTCAAAGATGTCGATCCCGTTCCATTTGTAGCTTATTTTCATAGTACTTCAAGTATCTGTTCAAAAGTCCTTGTAATTTTGCAAACTTTTCTTTTCTGTGCCTCGTTGGCCGAGTGGTCGCAAGTGCGACTGTTAGGCAAGGGGTCTCGGGTTCAATTCCCGGATAGGGCAAAGTAGTGCTGGGTTTTCAAAAAAAATCTGTAGTAGCACGGAGTCTCGAATTGTGCCTGGTATATGGCAATAGGCTCACCCTTATTACAAGGGACTCATAATATGAATAGTGAAAAGTGGGTGTTACATTTACATTGTACAGTGGCATAATGTGTACCTCTGCCTTCCCCTTCGGGGATAAAAGGCGTGATGTTGTTATGTATTTCTTTTCTAAATAATCTTTAGTTTTTTACCTGTATTCTCCTCTCGTTTTTGATGCTACGGATTTCATAAATACGGGATAGTGCCTTCCGAAGCAGATTCTCTTCTTGCTCTGCTGCAGACAATCCTGCTTTGTATAAATTCTTCAACTGCATTTGCTGGAAATAAAATAATGGATAAATATTATGGATGCATATTTATGAACATCAGCAATACCTAAAAAAAAAATTTAAGAATATAAAAAACGAGCCGACCAGTAGCGGGAGCATAGTCCAAGCTACCGGTGGTTAGGGCTCCAGAGACAGAAACCTCCTTACGAACTGCCTTCTGTATCAGGCCCTTGATCCATCCACCTAACGCCAGCCTACTGAGATGGATGTCTGAGATGAGATTAATTTTATTTACCTGTTGAGAGGAACTGGAAGAATCTTCATTGGAGGGTGGGGACTCCACAGCTTTCTCAGCTCTTAATATTGAATCAATACATTGTTCATTACGAGCTCTTTCTGCTTCAATATCATAGATTAACCTGTGCAAGGACCGAAGACGCTCCTAGAAAGAAGAGTAAAATAGATTTTATTGTCAACTTTAGTATTTCAAAATAAAGTAAAAAATTTAATTAAGATACTGATATAAGTAGATCTATCACTACAATGGATTATCATGTAGAATATATCAAAATAGTAATCATTGAATTATAATGTTAATGTAATGTTAAAAATGGCTTGCCACCTACCTGCACTTGTTGGGCAGCTACATCAGCTGTGAGTGGCATATTGGTGGAGTGATGACAAGCTCCAACTCAGATAGATAGCATGAAACCAGCACACAGATACAAACACCTAAAAATTCACATTTACACCAACATTAGTCATTTCTCCATTTCCATTATTATAATAACATAAGACGGAATAGCTATATAGAAAAGTAAGTAGATTGACAAGGTTCTGTTGTATGTGGAAATCATGACATTTTTAAAACCAAGGGAGTCAAATCTGAGCTGATTTGTACTTTAGAGTCGGATTTTTATTCATCGAAGGGTAGGCGAGTGTCATTTGGCATAATTCTAGATTTGGTGCTAAGCTATCTGAGATTTCCGAAAGGCAAAAACTTAAAATCAATAAACTTCGGAAATCGAACGCGCAATCCTTTACTCGGCATTATTACTAATATAAGCACAACTCAATCAATGATGTAGTCAAAATATTCACATGTGGATATTCTTCTATTATTATACATTATTAAATAATACTGAATAAACTTTATATATACATACCACAGTTATTACTTTGCACAATAAGTGAGAAAACACCATGAGTGCTTTACGAAATTGTTGTTGATGTACCTTTAGGCTAAAAACACCATTTGACGGCAAGTTTCAAATAAAATATTGCAAAACTAAATTACTAATTTCAATTTGTCAAAGATTTTTTAATATTCAGTCTTAAATAGTTTTTTATTCACAATATTCACTTAAATCCGTAAGTCGTAAACAAAGTCAGACTGAAAACATAGACGTGACATTGACTTGACATGACACTTGCTTGGAAATTTGACTTTTGTCTATGCTTCATTATTATTGCCAGCTAAGATGTGTTGTTTAGAATATTTCGTCAATTCTACAATTTTATTTTTACGTTTATCTAATAAAGGATACATAAATGATGGACCTGTCTAATAAAATCTGTATAAACTTCCTGGTAGTTAAGTATCCGTCTATCAATCATCCAAAAAAATTAATTGTTTAGTCATTATCAATTGATTATCAATCAATAATTTTTAATAATGGTCACATTGTCAGTTGTTTGGTTTGGCGTTTAATATTTAGATATTTTGGCCGAAACGAATCTGTAAATATCTTAGAAATAATAAGATGTTCATGAAATTCCTCCTTTTAAAGTGAAAGCCAATGACCTAAAGAGGTCTATGTGAATAGTATTTTAAAAGTAGGCCATTTGCAGTATAACGGATTTGGTTACCGGTACGTCAGAATAACTTCGTAATCATCAAAATTGTTTCAGAAATAGTTTTCACTAACTACGTGTTGTTTCAGGGTTTAGTGAAGTGTTACATTTCGAAGTGTTGAATTCATGATAGAAGCAGTTAGTGGTCATGGCAGAAAATGATGATTATTTAGAGACGATTGACAACAATCATTTAGACGGGACAAACGGATCCCTAAACATGACTGACAATAGTCTTGGGGTAAGTATTTCTTGTTAAACTTTTGATAAAAGTAGCATAATGCATGGCTTTAGAGATAAGTCTAAATATTTGACTCATTAGCCGCAATAGAAAACAGTTACTTCCGATGTTAAATGTTACAGTTACTGAGCATTAACGGTAATCGGCCTTTACCCGACTGGTTTACAAAGTTAACCTGTAAAGTTTAGATTTCTCGTACGTGTTACTTTATTGATACAATAACATAATGGTAAATATTACAGGAATTACTTGTTTTGGGTCAGTGTAGCTATGAGTTGTGTGGTATTATGGCATTTATCCAAATAATCAACAATGTAACATTGATAACATAATTTGATTTGGTTGGTTGTCAGATAACATCCAGAGTACTTCATAATAAAATCGTTTTGCCTAGAAACTTTGATGCTTATTCATTTGTTTATCAACATGCTGACTGGTTTTTTATAGAAATGCATATACCTAGTTCAATAGAACAAGTTACATGACTCAAATCATTTGCGTCAAATGTGATATTGTAATGAATATATTATCATGCAATAAAGATCTTCATAATCACAACATAACTTGATATAATGTGCCAATAATACCAAGGTAACAAGAATATATTCCAATAATACCATGCTAACAATAAATAACAATAGGTACTTGATCAAACATGATACTGTAATGAATATCTATTATGTTATGAAGTTCATGATCACAAAATAACTTTAAAGTGTCCCAATAATACCATGCTAAAAAGAATATATTCCAATAATATCATGCTAACAATAAATAACAATAGGTACATGATCAAACATGATATTGTAACAAATATCAATCATGTAATGAAGACCTCATAATCACATCATAACTTCATATTAGGTAGTTAAATAATGACCTATTGTTAGCTTGGTATTAGTATCATATACTACAACTACAACTACTGCTAATAGGTACTTACTTAATTAGGTCGTAAAGACCAATTTGTACCCCAAAACAGGTTAAAATTAAATATCAACCACAATAATTGTAATGGTTGTCAATCACTAGAAAAAATTAGTGGATGGGTATAAATAGAAAGTGTTCTGGCATAAAAGGGCCATTAAGGATTTACACTTCCAAGTGGTGAACAAGTATCTAGATCCCAGTGATATCTTCAGTGTCCTGTGATTTTAATACATAGTTACTATTATAGTGTACTATTGATGCTACTGAAATAGTAGTGGAATAATTTAAGTGTCTAATAAATTAAATAATATTGTTCATCATGCAAAAGGGTGGTGATGAAGCTGCTGGTGGTGAAGTGCCCGATTTGGCGGCAATCAAAGCCCGTGTTCGAGAAATGGAGGAGGAGGCTGAAAAATTAAAACAGATGCAGACAGAGGTTGACAAGCAGATGAGTATGGGTAGCCCACCAGGACTCAGTAAGTATTCTTTATTATTTACCATTAACTGCTCAGCTCACTTAGATTTTCACATCAACCCTTTCTTATCATTGAATAGTAGTTACTAGGTTTTGTCCTCTTTGAGTAGCATGGTGTTTTTTGTTTTAACACTTGTTTAAGATTTCAATGAAAATAACATTGTTATTTACACCTGTTATTTTGTAGTATGTAGATGAAGTTGTACTTAAATTAACATGCAAGTGATTCAATTTTACCATTGCATCATGCAACTCAGTAAGGATAGTGTTAGGAATATAGTTTTGTTGCAGTCTTTTAATGGATACAACAGTTTTTATAGTCTAGTAATGAATTATTCAATTTAGTGTTTATATCAGGTTCCTCCCAAAGTTCTTATCTCTCAATTGTACTAGGAATATTTATTTGAAAGTTGCTAGTAAGCCTCTGCTCTTAATGTTTTTTTATTCAAAGGTCTTGCTTAAAAGTATAATGGATCAATATTCTGGTAATCTTCATAATAAGTTCTGGTATACCAAGGTCCTCTGAGAAAAAAATTAAAATGTTTTGCATGATAATTGTTCATATTTACAACATTTTTATATGCGTCCGGTCAGTTTTTACGGGGCTTTTGCGAATAATAGAGTTTTTAGAATAATCTTTGCAAGTGAGACTAATTTTCGTTGCTTTGTTTTCATACAGATGTAAAAGGTAATATTATTATTCACTTGCACAATTTGACGCATATGTAAATGTCATCATGTGTACTGTAGAAGATGCGATAGCCTAGGAGTGTGGGTATTATAAAAAATGTGACTTATTATTATTATTTCTATTGGCCCTTCCAATGAACTTGTCCAATTTTTATCCAGATGGTAATTATTCACTCTGAGAAATAAAATACCATGAACAAAAAGAAGTAGTTTTCCAAATTGTATTCTCGTAGCCATACTCTCTAAGTGTCGCTAGTTTAATTTATATTCATAACAATAACAAATGTGTGGTTTTTAAAAAATAGATCTTATTCTAAATCTTCCCTTTTTTCTTCTTATCACAGCGAGTCCATTAAACATGTCCATCGAGGAGAAGATCGAGGCAGATAACAGATCAGTGTACGTCGGCAACGTGGACTACGGCGCCACTGCCGAGGAACTAGAACAGCACTTCCACGGATGTGGATCTATTAATAGGTAAGGATTCATTAAATTTTATTTGATTATTATGATATTTGATTTCTTATTCCTAAAAACTTGCTTCTTAAAAATTGCTACTCTTAAATCTAAATGGCATTGATAAATTATATACTACTAACTTCTGCCTGCGGCTTTGCCCGCGTTCCCGTGGGATAAAAAGTGGTCTATGTGCTATTCTAGACCATAGTCTATCCCTGTTCCAAATTTCATCTCAATCCCTTGTGTAGTTTTTGTGTGAAAGAGTAACAAATACAAATTTTCGCTTTTGTAATATACAAAAGCGAAAATTTGTATACTTAATAGTAGGAAGTAGGGTTATTTATTACATTACTGTTTATTAATTAAAATTTCATTACTTCCAGGGTTACGATATTATGTAATAAGTTTGATGGCCATCCTAAGGGATTCGCCTACATAGAATTTGGGGACAAAGACAGCGTTCAGACCGCAATGGCAATGGACGAGTCGTTATTTAGAGGGCGGCAAATTAAGGTTAGTTATGATTTTTTATGATTATGATTTATGGAATGCTGTAAACGAGCAGACCGTATCACCTGACGGTACCGTAAAATGGGGTGAATAGGGATCCAGGGGTGAATAGGGAAAAAACCAGGCATCATTTTTAACTCTAAATGCTAGTTTGCAAATCGTTCCAACTTTTACCATTTTTTGAGGGATAATAGTAGATTATTGGAACTTTTCTATGGCTACATTGAACAAGTGTGAAATCAGCTGCAAACTATCAAAAATGTCAATTGAAAGTAGTATAAACAAGATACCGGTTATTACAGTGTATAAAACTTAGCTGTGTAAAGGTTATTTTGTATTAAGCGAATACGAGTGTTAGTTTTATACCTTATTTAGGGTTTGGGCCGTCATATCCACGAAAGTTAAGCATCAGTTATTAATTAATATGACTATAATTTAGATTTTTAGAATGGCATGCGAAATTTGTATTTTTTGGGGTGAATGGGGACGTCTCAGGTATGAATCACAACGAAAGGGGGGTTAATCGGGATGAGGATAGGATGAATAGGAACGACTTATGTATGAATAGGTACAGCTTTATAGGGTTGTCACTAAGCAGACTTAACATTTTTAAATTGTGTAATCTAGGTAATAATTACTTTTTTATTTCATAAATTAGCGAGGTATTACACTGCGTCGTTAATCTAGTTATTGCAAGTGCAACTGTTGACCATGAAGTCTCAGGATCGGTTCCCGAGTCGACTCAAGTTTTGTTGGAATTTTGAAATATTTTACGGAGTCCGAAATTGTGTTCGGTGTATCTTAGTAGGCTTGTCCCCTATTTCTTGGGCTGACAACGTTACTGACGAACACTGGCTGTCACATTTAATACGTAGGTACATTATTTTTTTTTGGGATGGGAAATTATTACCTATATGACACCTCCTGGGCGGAGCCGAAAATTTATTTTAGTGTTGATATATTGAGTAGAAATTTTTATATACAATAATGCAAATTTATTTTATCAGATATGCCTCGCGTGTATACCATGTTCATTAATGAATAATTTTAAGAGGTAATAAAAGTTTTGTTGATTAAATAAATAATGGAAGTAAAACTGGATTTTATTTCAGTGACTAAATAGCTATTAAATAATCAGAAACTAGTATTATGTAAGAATTACATAGTGGTAATAAGTAATAATGTAGAATAAATTAAAATACAAAAAAATGGTAGTTAGCTAGAAATTATAATTCATTAGGTAGGTACCTACACAAGTGGCAGCCCTAGAGAATTTCCCTATTGGCCTTATTTTCGTCCCGATTGACCCCAATTTCTGGGTGAATAGGGAAAGGCTATATTTTAGCTTTTTTATGCATAAACTGAAATGCTAATTGCATAATTTATGTTTGATCACAAAGATACCATCACGACTCAATTATTACAATCGCCTTACAGCAAATTTTCTATAAAAAAACGCCTTAACTTTCTTTATGAAGTTCAGATTTGTCCCTATTCACCCCATTTTACGGTAAGCAATCGGCGCAGTGCCGTTCATGGACACTCAAAACACTAAGGTTTTACAAGTGGCCTTTGGCCTTTTGGGGATTAGGAATTTAAAGATTGGGAAGAGGGTTAACATGGCTGACCCCACACTTGAGATTTTAATTAACAATTGAAACCAGTCTTGATATTAAAATATTATATTTGATGGTTATTTGGAGTTACAAATATGGATGAAATGGAGGCACTTGCAGTTGCAAGCCCCTCCATTTACAATGCATCAGGAAGAGAGTATTGCTTTTAGTAAAATTATTACTCTGCTTACTTTATCAGTCTTTTTACTGAGAGAAATCCCAGTTTCTTATCACAGTTTCAGTTTCATTCGCTCTTTATGAAAATCAGAAATCAATTGTTTGTGTTTGTGTGTTTAGGTGATGCCGAAGCGTACAAACAAGCCAGGCTTGTCAACGACGAACCGGCCGCCGCGCGCCATGCGGGGCCGCGGCCGCTCGTTCCGCGGGGGCTTCTCACCGTACTACTCGGGCTACCGGCCCGTACGCCGCGGCAGGTACAATCCATATTAACACTGTCTACATCTTCAACTTCTGTGGTTTTATTCTGTTACATAATTTGCAACTGTTACAGTAACATAAAAAACCTTGTGAACAACACTCCCCAGTGTTGTAGCTTTGATATCTTTGTAATTTATTATAAAATTGTCTTTGTATGAGCCTTCAAAATAGATATTGTATATTTTAAACTATTTCCAAAGACTTGATTTTAAAGTTTGCAAAAAATTGTTTTAAACATCAAATGAAAATATGTCATTGTTAAAGTCGTCAAGATAAATACTTACATAAAATTTTAATTTGTGTGACTCCTTTTTTGTCATTCGCTCCAATGTAGTATGTTAAGCATGCTTTCTTCTGTAATTATTTTGAAAATCTTTGTTGCCAAACATTTTATGACAAAAGAAAATAGTTATTAAGTTCAGAATTTTATGTTAGTATTTTTGTTGTTAGTTTTTTATTTATTTTTAGTTCTTAACAAGTCAGATACATATTTTTGTTTGTCATTTAGTTTTCAAATAGTCTACTCATTTTTGGGTATAGACAACACCTAAACTTTTTATAAAATACTAGAAATGTTTTATTGTAATTCTCATCATCATTAAATTAAATGTTATGTATGATTGGCAAGTCTGGAAAAATTTCAAGGCTCCATATAATCAGTATAATTGATACAACTACACATTATGTCAAATGAAAGGCAAAAACGAATGTTAGCATTGTATTGAACTAACAGTTGCAAATTACCTCAATTTCTATGGTATATTGTGAGGATGTCACCTTGTTGCTCCCCTGTCTACTTCTGTTTTATTGATTTGGAAGTGGAAGGATTCAGTCAGTTGTTGACACAAAATTAGAGGTGGCATCTTGCGCAAAAAACTCTGTAGACAGTAGACACTGTTGTAATTTTCGGTACAAACTGTTGTAAATTGATCAAAAGAAAGACAATATTTATACACACTTTTTACAAATAAAGTTTGTAATAGAAAACTTGAGCATTTTCAATGCGGCGCCCCTCCTTCGTCGTATACGTAGCTTGCATGGCAGTGCGTAGCGTGCATCGCGTAGCAGTAGCTGGTAGCTGTAACGTGTAGCGTGTAGCTGTAGTGACTAACGGCGTGCCTTGTTTGCAGAGGTTACAGGCGCGGCATGTATTACTCTCCGTACTGAGTGCGGTAGAGGGGGGCTCCCCCGCCGCGCGATAGCTTTGTGCGAGTGTGCGGTATAGCTAAGTTAGTGTGTGGACGCCGGGACGTCGACCTGACTATAGCTGCTCGCCTGCGCCCTGCGCCACTGGACTCTAGCTCTACCTTTTACCTTTACTTTCTAAACGTCGTCAGTAACGAATATGTAGGTAAGGAAAATATAAGGACTCCGGTGTATTATGACGGATCGCGTTAAGGAAATATGAATTTTATTTTTATTTGTATAAGATAACTGAAATGAAGTGACTTTTGAAAATGTGCTGTTATGATTGTGAACAAAAAATACTTCATAGGACTCGATTATAGGAAAGTGCATAGAGTAAGTAGTCTAGGAAATAGATATTGAAAATATACCATGTAAACTTCCACTGCTGATCGGCTGTATGTTTGATTCTGTACCGACTACACTTAGATAAGGTTGAAATGTCGTCTTTGATTCTGATTTTGTATTATATTTGCCTTGAAGATGTCATAATTTTTGTGAATACATATGGTATTTTGGTAATCATTGTTCATATCGCAGTTTAGGTGTTTAGTGAAGTAAGGGTCATATTGTAGCCATTGTGAGTGCCACAAGGCTGTTAGGATTGCTAGTATACAGTTATATTCGCAATATGAAGTATTTTAGTAATGTAATGATCGGTGATCATATCGAATGTACGTGTAACATTGTCAAGCAGTGTTCCCACCAACGTGCATGGATCGCGCCGCCTCGCGCCTGCCTCTAGGAATAGCTATATTACGAAACTCTAACATAGGACTTTAAAAAGTTTAAATAATTTGTTTCTAATATCATGTATTGACATAGTTAGTTACATTTTCACTTATGTCTCAGAGTTATTATAATTTTTGACTGTATCTACATTGTGTTTTGTTATTTCATCTCAATGTTTGTGTATGATAATGTTGTCGTGATAGTATTAGTTTGTATTCGTCCAGATAATTGTTTACATTTTAAAATATTACAATAGTATTTAAAATATTATTGAAGTATTAGAAATTAAAAAATTTGGTTGCTTTTATTTGGTATTTATACTAATTGTATTCGTATTTATTCATCTTATTGTAAAGTACAATGTACACGTATGAAAATTGACATGCCTGTATAATTATTGTTTCGTTTAAAAAAAAGGTAAAATTGCACTTTGAAAAACTCGAAAGAAACAAGTGAAAGGAGAAACATGAAATGAAAATAATTTAAGAATAATTTTAAGAACGGAGCTGTTGTTTTATTTAAATCATCAACCCTAATTAATTGCACTAAACTACAAAACAACCTTTATTTTTAAAGAACACATGAATAAACATTTAATTACAAAAAAATAAATCTTAATTCTATAAACGCCAGAAGCAGGTAACGTTGGTGCAAACAAAATCATAGCACTTTATTATTAATTATACAAAAAATAAGTTATGTTCAGACAATGGCTAAAGAGGGAAAAATGAGGAAATGTAGAGGTAATGATTTCAAGACATTTGCCATTGTTTTGATTCATTGTTTCGGTTCGGAGTACTGTCAAGCAAGCTAGGCAGAAATGGTTAACCTTTTGAACGCCAGAGCAAAAACGCATGAACTTGCCCTCAACGCCAGGCCACAAATTCACCGCAAATACCTACGAAAAAAATAGGGATTCCAAAACTTCATCGATAATCAATTTTATTTTCATTTTCGTCTTTAATTTCGAAATATAATGTCCTTATAACATTGAAATTTAATTCAACATTACATTTCTTCCTATTAAAGTAATAGTTATACACTATTTACAGACGTGTATAATACCGTAATAACAGATATGAGACTACAATATATTTAAATATAATAACTGTAGGTACAACACTATTCTTGATCTGCTGTCTTCATATTGTGACCATGGCGTGGACGGCCCGCTATTTTAATAACTACTTCGCTTCCGAAATAAGGATGTGGCAACGTAATATCTCGTTTATCGATGTTCTAGTACAATATTATTTTATAATAAATGAAACACGTTTTTTAAATCAGATTTATAATTCCGAATGTAACAGGTACTTAAAAATATATGATTGAAATAGGTTAAGAAGGTAAATAAAAACTATGAAAAAATAGAAAATTTTAATAAAATGTTATACAGTATGTACTATGTATACATGTTTTTAAATATTAAGTTCTATAAACCTGGCATAAAAAGTAACAAATTAAAAATTCGTCCAAAGATTCTGTTTCCGAAAATTCTTCGTCATCTGAGACTCCTTCTAATATGCGAAGAAGTTCTTCCGTAGTCATTAAATTCCCACTCATTATAATAGTCACTTAATATAAATCTTGAACTCGATATCACAAGTAAATTAATCATAAATATTATTCATTCACTTCACTAATTTCTGGTCGCCGCGCTTGTGACGTCACGATATTGTCGTCTAGTCGTGACCATGGCGTACAGGGTACTGATAATTCGGGTTGCGTTAGGGATGCGCTTGAGTTGGGATTAGTGAATATCGAAATTCGACCACTAGCGGTCACGCAGTTATGACTCTGGCGTGTGAGGACATTCTTTTTTCAGAGTTTATTTCTTTCTTTTTAACGTAAAATTTCTCAATATTTATAATGCAATTTAATTAGTTTTATGGAAATAAATAAATTTTGGACCTTCTATTTTACAGGTATATAAATAAATAGGCATTAAAGTAATGTTTAAATAGTTTATTTCGTGTTTTAATGTACCGCTGTTTTTGTCACATATTTGTGTCGTTGGCGCTCAGGGACAGTTTTCGCTTGTCACGTATTTGTGACCCTGGCGCTCAAAAGGTTAATTTCCTCATTTAAAAAATGGATACATTCATAATAAAAGTGATACATTTGTATCATTTCATATAGTTTCTGTGGTCACAAAGTACAACATTATTTTGGCAAAAAAATTTTTACACTTTCAATAAATATTCAGAGGGTGTTATAATTTTTAATATTATTTACTGCTGGCAATAAATTACTGTACCTACTGTCAGTGTCAAACTAAACTATCAAACATTAAAATTGACATTTGCCTATTGCCTGATTGATTTCATGATTTGATTTAATTCTTTTCTTTAGTTTCTGATGGTGATTTGTGAAATCTATTCTTATTCGAGATGAAATTAGTTGTCTTTGATAGTAATTCAGAAATTTGAATTACCCTTACCCTGAATGAAACTACTCATATGATCGTTTTCACAGTTTTTGTTTTGTGAAGTATTCCCATCCTGTGATTTGAAGAAGTGTAAACATGTTTGCAATGACACCTGAATTTTTCCAATTTATGAAGAAGTTAGAAGAAAATGGGGATAAGCTCACTTGTACTCCTCCAAGTGAACCGCCCCTTGACTTTGAATTTGATGTACGTAAGCTAGGAACACTTCTACAATTCATAAATACTATAATAAGTACTTGGAAAGTTGTGTTATGACAGCAACAATATTGTTTTTGTTACAGAATTCTACATGTCACGTGTGCAATGGCTACTACGGGCCTAGTTTTGGAGAGCCAGTTTGCGTAACTTGCCATGCTTTTCTCTTCCCAGACTTTCCATCGTACTTGCCGTCGTCGTATTTCTATAGTGAGAAGACAGATGACGGTGACTCTGGGAACGACGAGCCTTCGGACCTGAACTATAGCTCTGAACGTAAAGTGAACAGAGCCTGCACGGTGCCCTCTTGGTGGTATTATAGAGTAAGTATATTGTACAATCAAGGGCTATAGACAGGTGACAATTTGATAAGTTGGTATTTTGTTTACAAAGACATTCTTATGTTGACAACTAGGTTTCATGGAGAGATGAGATTGAGATGTTATGTGTGAGAGAGAGAGCTCCTTGATATAAATAATAATATAACATTGCTTCAATATCAACCTCAACAACCTCATGACGCAATAGAAAGTACATTTTTATTTGCTTATTTAGGTTTGCAAGTATCCATTTTTTTACTACATACCTTCTCAATTATGGTTTTTAAATATTTGTATGCCAAGACGGCATAACATGTACCTCATATTCCTAACTTAACACTATTGCATGTACTCTTGTAATATTGCTCATGTTAACACAAATAAAAAATATCTTTATATTTACATTGTATCTCATTTGGATCTGTATTCTGACAGATGGGGTTTAAGATTAAAGATATTTTAATCTGAAAGTATGTGTGGAGCCACTACTAATTGTTTTTCAAAATAAACACTGCTACATCTGTTGTTTAAAACAGTTTTTGATACTTGGCCTGTTGCTGGAAAGTTGGAAATCTAATTATGATTCTCTCAAAGAATGTAATGGAAAGTTTATCCTTAACACATTGTTGTTATTGCTAAAACTTCTATTTCAATAGTTTAGCTGCTGAAAATGTGAAAAAAAACTATTAACTTCAAGTCACTTTTAAGTTTAAGAGTTAATAGAAATACATATACTTACACACTACTTCTAGGAGTTATAAAAAAAGGCCAATATCTACCTGATAGTATAGTTTGATGATGACTATAGTATCGTTGATAATTATTTTTTCAGAGCTCACTGGACAGTGAAACTAGTCCAGAAGACGAAGCAAGTCGAGCGAGCAACTCTGGCGCCGGCGCAAGTAGCAGTGGCAACTGTAGCGGCGTGGGAGGTAATGGCGGTGCGGGGAGGGGTGATGGACGCATATGGCCAGAGGGACCGTCGCGACCTGATGCACCACGAAATGACGGAGTGCCTCGCAATGATGGACTGCCTCGCAACGATGGCCCGCCACGAAATGATGGTCCGCATCGGAATGATGGGCAACCTCGAAATGATGGGCCACCTCGGAATGATGGACCACCTCGAAATGATGGACCACCTCGAAATGATATGCCTGTGCGGAATGATATTGCTCCAAGGAATGACGGAATATCTCGCAATGAAGGACCATCTCACGCTGATCCTGGTCGTGCTGAAGGACCCTCAGCTGGCGCAGGTCGCGCTGTTGAGCCACCAGCTCGTGATGACACTGCCGGACTAGGCCCGCCTCCTCACCCGCCTTGCCTTGCCCGCTCGTTACAAGCTCTTTCTACGCCCAGACCACCGGATAATCTAGCGCCGGGACTGGTGGAGCAGTTGCCTTCTGAAGGTAGTGTTTTTAATAGTCTTCATTGTAATTAACAATAGTAACAGAAAATCGGTCTTAGAAAGCAAATTAAAACATTGGTAAATTCACAGAGGTGGGGTAACAAAAAGTTCTGAACTGTTTTTTACATTGCAGTGCTGCTATGCATCTTCAGTTACCTGGACGACCTGTCCCTGTGCGCGTGCGCGTGCGTGTGCGGGCGGTGGTGGCGCCTGGTGCGCGCGCGCGTGTCGCCGCCGCGCTGGGCCTCCTTCACGCACAAGCGGTTCCCGCTCTACCGCCCGCTACTCGCCAACATCGACTGGCATAAGGTACGTCTCTATACTCCTTAACTTCATATTCGATTTAATTGTTTTGAAGTCATGCGAGACTCGTCTTAACTACATCAGAAACTCTTCTTTATCCCCTAATTATCGTAAATATGCATTCCTAATGTTAAACCTTTCTTTTTCGATTCATTCCAGAAATACCAGTGTCTGGTGGAGTCGTGTTTCTGCCGCAACTGCCTGGTACAGATGTGTGTGCAGGCACAGCCCGCCGGGGAAGAGAACGCCTGGCGCCGGAACCGACTGAGGATTGAACTCAAGGTAAATAAAAGACATTTCACCTGATTGCATTATAAATACTGTTGTATGCTATAGATGTATCGTTAACCGTATTACTGACAATACCACGTCATACATTTGTTGTTTTCTGAGGGTTTTACGAACTTTACCATCACGTGACATCAATCCTGTTTTAAATTGCATCTATACTCGGAATTTTAATTCGATTCCAGATTTGACAATTTCAGTGTGGCAACGTTATGACAAGTACTAAATAGTGAGGTTGCGAAATTATTCGATATGGAAATGCAATATTTCTGGATCGATTCTTCTCGTTTATAATAATTATAATTTTACTCTAGTGAACTATGTATATCAGGAAATTTAATATTTCTGAACCGATAATTTAGTTTTGGCGATTAATTAACGATCTAAGATGTTTCCTTTATAATTATGCGTGAAATAAATAAAAAAATGTAATCACGAAGGAACATGACAAATAAAACAGATAGACGTATTATGGTAATAAGTTATTTTATAAATTGTCGTCGTCATCGCTGTCGCTATCCTGTCACTTTCTGTAACATTTATTATAAAACACACACACTGATTGTTTATCGATTTTTGTGTGCATCACTACACTATTATATGTGGTATCATTATTTCACAAAATGACAGTAGCTATTGTCAAATCTGGAATCTAATTAAAATTCTGACTATAGAGTCCAAACTCAGAAAATACTCAAAAAGCCTACCCAGAGCCAAATACAATTTTAGGCTGTTTTACATAGATACATCTGCCCTCGTTAAAATGATCAAGCGGTCTGTCATAGATATTTTTTAATATAAAATTAATCATCTGTTATCCAGATGTTGCGCAACGACCCCCCGGAAGGTATAGCGGCGACCCCTCTGGACCCCAAGTGTTGTCACTGGCAGGCCAGCGTCACCGGACCCATCGGGTCCCCATACGAGGGAGGGGTCTTCTATCTCTACATACAAGTGCCATACGCGTGAGTAATATTTTATTGTTATGTGAAGTTCATTTATTTAATTATTAAAGATATTTACTATCAACACAACAGATTTGCATGAGTTGCAACGTTTTTTATTATTAACATAATATATCTAAAAAGTAGGCAACTTCACATAGGATATTTTGTTTTAAGTTTACTGGCTGATTGAGATAAGAGCACATTTAAGGTAAAAAAGTAATTCAATGATTTTAGGTACCTATAAAAATAGAAAGAAAGAAAGAATAACTATTTATTTTGCTACGACACACAACAAGTAAAAAGCCTATGGTGCGTCGCAGCGCAAAAGGCTGGAGCTCAGCTTAATACCGTGGACCGGCCACAGAGCCTCGAGCCCACGGCGCTGATTTTCAGCACCAACCCGTTATAGTACGTAGGTACTACTTAAACACCTACGGTAACGCTGTAATAAAGTGTGTGTAAAACTTATCAATGTGGCCTTAGACATTGTTACAATGAAAGAAAGAAAGAAAGAAAGAAAAATCATTTATTTGGCAATTACACGCACAGAAAACAAAGAATATAAAAAAATAAAAATACATCTACAGAATACATACAATACATACAGAATTTTGAATAAACAATAAAAAAAAATCTAATAAACAAAATAATAATATTAATTTTAATTTGCGCGTGCTAATGCCAAAAGGGCCTCCACCTCAGCATATAGTTGGACGTTTGTGCCCAACGCTGGTTTTCAGGTGGCACCCTGCAGTGACTCACGGACGGCGGTGCCGCCCCTCAATGAAGACAAAAAATAAACATGAAATTGTATAAATAATATAAATTTAGCTGAATATGTGTGTGGTGTGTGTGTGTGTGTGTGTGTGTGTGTGTGTGTGAAAAATTGAGAATAGAATAACATATATAACATATATAACCAACATATATAGTACATGTATATACATACAAACAAAATGTAAAAATGCAATTATAAGAGTTAGTCTCTTTTGACGTTTACTCTTTTTTTTTTAATTAATTGGGGGTTATTTCACATTTTTGATTGTCAAACAAAGACAGTTTTAGTGACAACTCTGCTGAGCTCTGATTCATTCCGACGCGTACCCACAAAGAAACAGCCGCCGGCCACAGGACACCAAACTCCAGCATAGTTTACGAGTGGCGAAATGATCACAATTAAAACACTCAACTTAATTACGAGAATTAAAATAATGGCGAGGTACATTAAAACAATGCTCACACGTTGAGCACCCAACCAACACGCAAAGACTTCCAAGTTGTAAGTACTTCCAATGCAATATCTACTGTAATGTTTATCGTATCGTTTATTATATTACCAGGTACCCAATGAGTCCACCAGTGGTACGGTTCCTGACCCGCATATTACACCCGAATATCTCCCGGCACGGCGACGTGGGCATCGACTCCGTCCACCACAACTGGTCGCTCGCACTCACCATCAGCAAGGTGCTCATCTCCATACAGAGCCTGCTCACTGACCCGTATACTGCGGTAAGTCATTCATCCATATCATCAATATCATGATCATTACGAAATGTCCCCCTTAAGAAAAGATTTGCCATAATCCCAATTACTTTAATTACCCAATTACCCCCTCCGTACTCTCCCGATTCCTCTACAATCCTCAAATTCCCAATTCCCAAAAGGCCGGTAACGCACTTGTAACGCCTTGGTATTTCGGGTGTCCATGGGCGATGCCGATTGCTTACCATCAGGTGATCCGACTGATCCTTTACCGGCTTATGCAATATATAAAAAAAATCCCCTCGCTTATTTGCCTTCTCTTAGTTATCGCAGTTAGGTCATCTCACTGGTTGGACATTGGAATACTGTTTACACTAATTTAATAGCAAAGTTACTGGTCAAATCGCTGAGTAATTGCTTGGCAGCTACTGCTACGCAATTACTCGGATATATGTTCTTAGTCTCGGATAGGAGAGACTGATCAAAATATTTTTGATTTTCAAAATTCTCAAAAGTCGCTGGCCAACACCTTCGAAGAATAATTTATCATCCTACTTTTATGTAATTGAATTTTAATAATCTAATTTGAACACAATCATCCCCAGGTTTGCATGGAACCAGAACTAGGGGAAATGTACGTACGTGACAGACCTCGCTTCGAAGCTCTTGCAAGAAACTGGACGTGGAGATATGCCATGCACGACATTCTTTCATACTGAACCATTGTGACAGATGTATTCAACTATTCAAATATGTACTATGTGATAAACGGAATTAGGTTGATAGTTGTCTAACAGTACACTGTTGCTTAGCTTCCTTTAATGTGGTATGCTAATTTGTTGATCAACAGAAGCATTAATCCATCCAAATGTGTACTATGTGATTAATGGAATTAGGTTGATAGTCGTCTAACAGTACACTGTTGCTTAAGTTATTTTATTGTGGTAAGCTAATGCGTTGATCGGCTTTTTAAAGTTTTAGTAAACACACGTGGCAAAGTGAACTATGTGGACAAAGTAACAAAGTTTATAATCGTGTTAGATTACCGCATTGCATCTTTTTGAAAGCAGAGAAATTGAGAATCAGATATTTTGCTCACAGGTGATAGGATTTTATAACTTATCTCTAAGGAATAAATATGAAATTACCTTGGGATACCTTTATTTTTTTGAGAAATACTTATGTGCCAGACTTAGCCAACAAGATGTGTTAGTGCTCTGCAAGGCTCCTTGACTAACAGATTTATTTGTTACTGTTAACTTTTGGCAGCTATATATGGTTGAATTGAAGTGGCCTAACTCGTCATTATAGCTGCACCATTCAGTTGTGCACAGTCTTGCTTATTTTAAGAAGAAATTATTTCTTTTTTTTTCTCTTTAATCGAATATCTATTTGCATTACTAAACTACTTATCGATCATATAGCCACAATGATTACCTAATCGAACGTACCTATATACGTACATATTTAGCTTAAAACCAAGAAGATTGTAAGACGAATTTAGAAACATCTGGCGTATCGAAGACTTAGCTGCGTATTCCTTGTATACTGGCAAATTGTATTTATTGCCTTTCCAAGGTTTTCTTATTTTATACCATACGATATACCTTAGATTATGTGGTTTAGAAATAAACATTTCTCCTTCACGTATAACAGTATAGCCATGGTTATCTATAATCACACTTTTTATACTTTTATGCTCTGAATACAATATTTTGTAAACTAAACAACACGAATTATAAAAGACAAATGTAAGCGCACTTCAAACTTTATTGTAGAAGATTATTTTCACATAAAAATAACGTATAACGCTATTTGTGTCTACAATAAAGATGTTTGAGTAGATTTTGTGTTATTCATTGTGTGTAACATGTTCCAACGCATTCGAAGTTTTTCGCAGTTGCATAGGTTTGGGAGACAGGACTCGCTGCCAGGGGCTCTGCAGTAGCCGGGGTAAGGAGCTTCACCTCTAGGGAGCCACCTCCGTGTAGGAACAAACATCAAAGGATCCTTTTCATGAGGTTTGTCTAGCAATTCTCGCAAGTGGCCCAGCTTTACCGTATACCGTTTAGTGTGAGTTTTAAGACACCCCGCAGTGAAATAGTGAATGTATATCGCGAGCGCATACACTCCCTGTAACGAATATTTTATTTTGTTACCCGAAACGAAACGGATTTTTTTTTCTCGATCATTGGCTTAATTTATGAAGGCCGGCTTTCAAACCAACTTGTTGGTCCATAAATGCAAGAAAACTATACCATCGCACTTTTTTACCAAAATAGAATGTTAAGGTGGGTGTTAAAAATATCCAAGTTCGCTAGCCCAATGGTTGTACTGGAAATCGATTCCGAAATCCCTCGCTCGACAGGCGACTGCAGAATCGTAAACAAAACGGTCTCTTCTCCACGTCATGGTTGTTTATCTGTACTGATAATTATTTAACTACATAGTAAAATGATAATGTTAGTCGATTGGAATTATGTAATAAAATAGAGTTGGTACTCACATTGATATCAACAATTTCCGAATGAATTTTTTGAATAGACATTCTTGTAGGAATGGATATTGATTTCCGACACGGTTATTTTAAGAAGAATTCAATCGTACCTGCCTACTATAAGTAATAATTCCGATTAGAAATCTTTAATTCTTATAGGAATTACGCACGGAACTGTAATTACCTATACGTGAAATTATTTCATGTAAGTATTAATTAATTTATGTGACGTTCACTGTAATAATTGAGAACAAAGTACCTCATTAAGGTGTAGATAACCTTGGTGAAGAAATAAGAGTTAAAAAAAATAATTGTGTTATCTGTAAAATATTTGAAATAAAATGTAATGAGACTGTCTGGAAAAAATAGAAAGTTCAACAATGCAGAAATTCGCCACAGATAAGAATCTCTCCACCTCGAGAGAGATGCTTGTCCATGCCCAGGATGCACCGGCCCGACAGCTGCCCTTCCCCCCGGACACATCCGCGAGGGACCAGCAGCCGCCGAGCACACGAGGAGGTTCTCTGCACGCACCCCATGTCCCTAATCCTACGTATTTTTTTGTCCTTTTTCTTTTTTATACTTTTTTTGTAGTTTTTCCATTTTTAGTTTTTTTTTTTCGTAATCTTTGTGGTTTATCTTAGTACTACGACCACGACATGAATATTAGTCTAGTGGCCTCTACATTTCCCACTGCAGTGGTCTCTTGAATGACTCCTAGATCGTCCTCTAGAGTGACCCCTGGATTTTCCTCTTGAATGGTGTCTGGGTTTGCAACGCGTCGATTCTTTTCTTGCTCTCCCTTTACGTGTTTGCTTGCAGCAATCGTGATATTTTTCCTTGCAACATCCATAATCCATGCTGTTTGATGGTCCTGCAGATCTACCTCTGGAATGACTCCGGGATCTGCCCCTGGAGTGGCCACGGGATCTACCCCTAGAATGGCCACGGGATCTTCCTCTGGAATGGCCACGAGACCTTCCTCTAGAATGGCCACGAGATCTGCCTCGGGAGCGACCACGGGACCTACCCCTGGAACGGCCACGAGATCTGCCCCTGGAGCGTCCTCTAGACCTACCTCGCGATCGATCTCGACTTACAGATCGATCTCTCGAGCGGCCTCTGCAGCGAGAACATCTTGTATCAGCTTCCACTCCTGTGCTCACGTCTAGAGCTGCAGTCTCAGCACTCGGCTGCCCACGGCTGGGCACTGCCACGAGCACTGCTGTCTCCATGTCCTGGATCTCCAACTTCTGAAACACACAACGGAACTTCGTATCGGTTAGTGAAGTATGTAGGTATAGCTGGTATAGCGTTAGATGCAATGTGACTTGCGTCAACTCCTTGTGGTGAATGTGGCTCATCCCACGAACGTTGACTTTTATATTCAACGTTATTGCGTAATAATTTCAGAAATTGCGCAATTATTGCATTTATTTCATTATTATTGCGCAACAAAATAGTTATCTTTGAAGGGTTTAGGAATATTCCATTGTCTATTTATAATCATATGTTATTATATAAAGTGGAAGTGTCTGTTTGGTTGTTTGAACGCCCTAATCTCCGGAATAATTAGTTCGATTTGAATCATTATTCTGTGTTGGATAGTAGTGCGTTTATCGATTAAGGCTATAGGGTAGAAAACATCATGTCGTACGACCTATAGGAGCTCAGCACAGTGGGTGAAACCGCGCGAAAGTAGCTAGTAATTAATATGTCGCGAAATATGTGAAATCGTCGCGCGTCGTGGTGGCCCGGAGGTTTCAGACGCCCGCTTCTCATGCATGAGAGCGCGTTCGAAACCTACCAACGGCAAGAACCAATGTGACTTTTTCTGAATAATATGTACCTACTTTTTAAGAACACCACTGACAAACAATGAAGGACAACATCGTTTCTAATTATAAGGTTGTAATTGCCAACCCGCAATGAGCAAGCGTGGCGATTAATGCTCAAACCTTCTCCGTGTCTCCGTGTGGGAAGAGGCCTTTGGTCAGCAGTGGGTACTTATAGGCTGGCTATGATGAATATTGTGAAATATAATCATCATCCTATACCTACGTATACCTACCTACTGATATATATTTCGTCGACATGATAAATCCATTGATTGTGACGGAAGGTGCAAGGAGTGCTAAGTGAGTTTTGGGGCACCACGGATGGGAATATATATAGGGCTGATGCCGATTCGAAGTTGCGGAGAACCTAACGGGTTACCGCCTACGGGGCTCCGGCTCGAAGTGCTGGAGAAGGAACAGGGTAGTTTTTAGTCAGTAAGAGTCTTACATTCCCTCCCGCCTCACCTGTATGGATGTATGTGTGTTTGTGCGCAATTATCTCTCGATTGGCTGGAGCGATTTTGATGATGATTTCAGAAAAGTGTTTGTTACACTTAGAAGGCAATTTTAGTATTAATTAGCCGACTTCCAAAAAGAGGAAGTTGAAGTCGGTTATTATGAACGTAGTTTATAAAAGAATTATTAAAGGTTTAACTCTGACTGGGTGAAAAAAATTATGTGCTAGGTAAGTACTTCGGTGCTTAGTGGTGTTGAGCCACAGAAATATCTATGTGTTGAGCTTCTACCTAATACTACTCTTCGGTTATGAAAAATTGAGGTTTAAACATGATAGATTTATTTATTTATTTAGAAAATTTACATATATAATACTACAGCTTACGCCATTAAGTTATACTGTTAAATCTTATACCTATAAATACTATTATTTAGGTATTTAAAAACAAACTACCTAATTAGGTCATTAAATAAAATAAGAAATAAAAATTAATATAAGTAATTCAGAAACAAAATTAACAAAACCTATACAATTCAATAACAAAATTGGTAATCATAGTTATTGTAACTTGAAACAAACATTATAACATTATAATTAGCTACGTATCATCCATCCTCTCACAAAATCTTAGACATTCACGACACGCTATCCGTCCTATTGCAAATAAATCACACTCTGGTGCTGACATCAGGAGAGAATTGAGCATGGTGAGTACCAGCGGGGAATTTGCATGGGCCACTGTACGTGCTTCTGGTACAGCCAATAAATAAGGGATGTTGACGTGAGCGAAGTTGGTGTGTGAGCAACCTCGGTACTGATAACCGCACTACCTGACCTACGATCTCTGGACACTCAGATTCACCTATAAATAGATACCTACCAATAAAAGATACATAAAACTAGAATAATGGAAAGAATCATTTTCGGATTTTTATATCCAACGATAGGTAACTTGATTAAGTTACCTGAATAAAATGCACACCATCTATCCAACTCACAGAAATATTAAAGATCTATGATCCAGGTCTAAAAGCATACGCCTTTTATACCCGAAGGAGTCGGCAGATTACGGGACTTAATGCCACTATACAATGTAACACCCATTTTTCACTACTTTTTTTTTTTATTTAAAAACGTTGCCCCACACTAGGATTATCTCCTGTGTCGTGGGTGCGTTTACAAACATACAAGTTCACATACACAATGACACCCAGACCCGAAACAACAATTGTGGATCACACAAAGTGTTGTTCCGTGCGGGACACGTTGCGAACCCGCGACACGTTGCACGGCAGCCGGTTGCCCAGCCACCGTACCAACCGTGCAGCCAAAACTTATGTTATGAGTCAATGTAATAGGGGGTGAGTCTATTGACATATACCGGAAATTTCCAGACTCCGTGCTAAAATTGAGATTAAAAAAAAACCCTGTAATACTTTGCCCGACCTGGGATGATAGGGATGATAGGATGATAGTCTAAAAGCATAGCAGGCATAATATTCATGTAGGTATATTTATTTCACAATATTGCGACATGTTTTATGAAGAAGTGACCTTAATTTCCCTACAGTACCTACTTTAAGTAGGTTAATTGTGCAATAGTAGCGCAATAAATGCAAATGTTGCGCAATATTTATAAATCCAAAATACTTAATTCATATACCTAGTAGATACCAACAAATGATACGAAGTGTAGATTACAGATTGTACAGATTATTCCTGTTCACGTCAAAAGAGCATTCCAATTTTATAAAGGAATGAGCAGGTAGGTACAGTGGTCATCACATCAAAGTGTCTACCCTACCCCCATGGTAGACAGGCGTGTGGTTCGCGGGACGATTTCCGGCCACCGTAAGCGCGGGCCTGTGGACGGCGAACATGGGTGGCTCACCGCCCGACCAGAACCAGACCCAAGCGTACGGCGCGTCTCGTTCCGTGCGCGCCTCAAAGAGCCATCAGACCACCACGGATGGGGTCCAATAGGGCTGAAGCCGATACGGAGCCGTGGAGAACTTAACGGGTTACCGGGGCTCCTGCTCGAAGTGCATGAGTAGGAACGGGGTGGTTTTTAGTCACTAAGAGACACTCCCTCCACGTCATTGGATAATTTTCTGCCCCTAAAAAAAAGACAAATGTGTGGTTGTGTACGTGTACAATATCTCTGCCTACTCCAATGGGAAACAGGTATGATGATATGATGAAAATTACGTCCTGTCAAAGTCAAAGTCAAAGCATTTATTTCAATTAAACCATAGTTTGGTACTTTTGAAACGTCAACAAATACAAAATAAATAATAGTCTGTCAGTCAGTCCGTCAGTGAAACTAGGTGAAGCTAAGTGCTCATTCCAAAAAGTAGATTCGAATGGAGAAGAACGAGCAAGAAACTCCATTCGTTACTCTTTTTAAAAAAGTATGTTCTACAATGTCTCTGATACATATTTCAATACTGTACGCATATGTAAGAACAATGCAGACATGCTTGACGAATTATACTAATAACTTACTAAAATTAAAAAAAATATAAAAATCTTGAAGTCCTGTGGATACTTACCTACGCCTTTATGCCTTTACTTATTCCTTGCGGCTGGCGGGAATAACGGTTGTTCGCTGGGTAGGCGACATATCAATTATTACCTCTATAAGTAGACAATGGAATTTTCCTCTTGTTGCGCAATAATCATGAAATAAATGCAATTATTGCGCAATTTTTGAAATTATTACGCAATAACGTTGAATATAACAGTCAACGTTCGAG